TTTGGGAATGACATATCTTTCCCTGGCTTCTGGCTCTCAATCTCTACTTCCTGACTACCATGTTCTGCCTCACCTCCAGTCCAGAGCAGTGGAATTGACCAACCATGGATTGAGAACCTCTGAAATCACGAGCCAAAATAACCTTCCTTCAAGTTGTTCTTGTCAAATTTTTGGTTACAATGGTGAGAAGCTGACTGACACACTTAGATTTCACATTGCTGCCAGGGAAGACCCCGGGAGCCAGCTTGAGGGTTCGCTCTGAGGGGTCCTCACAACTCGCTGACACTGATATCTTCTTCCTGTTGTAGACTTCACTGTTCAATTTGATTTTTATCAAGAATATAGCCACATGACCTTCTGTTCCTCTACCAGGACACTTTTCCAGGGATATTAATGGTTTTCTGTAGTCCTAGGAATTGCTATGAAGTGTCCCCTGCATTTTAAATCAAGTAGTGCTTAGCATAGTAGTTTAGCATAAAGTGCACAGAAACTATTGTCTGATAATGTTAAGAAATCTCAGGGAAAAAACAGGACATCTTTCAAGTTATTAATTCTAGGCACAGAATGCTTTTCATAAGTACACCTATACACATGCGCACATACACACACACCAAAAAATAAAAATACTTGGAACTGAAATAAAGATTGTCCTTTTGTCATCTTTTAAAAACCATTAAAATAGCCTATTTGAGACAGATGACTTCATATATTATATTGTGATCTTTTTTATTAGACTGTACTCTTAATATTAAATTAGTTTAATAATTGGTCTGAATCATGGGCCTAGAGGTTAGAGCTCAAGCTGTGGAGCTACACAGATACATGAGCTGAATCCCACTTCTGCAGCTGGGAGCCCTGGGCCTATAGGCTACTTACTAACTCTGGTAGCTCCACCTCACAGAGAGGTGGATTCTTGTGAAATGTGTAGATCAGTGTGGTGTGTGTGAGTGCTAGCAGTTATTATTGTTGCTTTAAGACCTGCTAAGCTTTCTTGTAATGAGAAGTTTGAAGCAGTGGCTTATTTCTAAGATTCAGGAAAGCCTTTTAACTTTCCTTTTTCTTTTATTTTTTCCTGCTTTCTCCTGGAGACTCCTCCCTGCTTTTCTTGCCTTCCCTCCTCCATCTCTCAGAATTCCCAGCTCTCTTGCCTATATTGCTTCCCTTGGATTCTGCAGCACATAGCTCCCCATGTTTTACAGATCTCCTTTCCTGGCCCTCATGTAATTGAATTAACTTCACATTATGTGGCTTGCTTTTTTTCCCTATTAAACTGATTGATAGGCACTCTGGGAAGGAAGCTCTATACTATGTGCAAAGTCCCAGGTCCTACGACATAATGATGAGCCTGTTTTAAAAATTGTTTTTGCACTAAAAGATCTGTAATTGTCAGTTATATGAAAAAGAATAGCAGTTCCATTGATGTGAGATTTTTCTTTGATTTAGTTTTAAGGAATAGAAGAGATTTAAAAATCATTGTTATTAAACTATTGTATAAGGATTGGGAATGTAATTGGGTGGTAGAGTTGTTTCGTAGCATTCATAAGGTCCTAAGTTCAGTCCTCAGTACAATAAGAATGAATATAATATAGGGTTACCAGTGTTTACTTGTTGCAAGTTCCTCTAGACTTATTAAAGGAAATTCCAGTTTTGCCCAAAAGTGTTAACAGTTTTTATGGAAAAATTTAAATCTTCAGAAATATATGACTTTATACTTTAATTTTCAGAAGTACCATGATTCTCTCAAACTTAGTTATAAAGTTAATTATAATTTTTTAAGGGACACAAAATACTATTTTTAATTTTAAGGCTACTGACCCAAACTATATATATTATCAAATATTCCTCCAGTTGTATATGTTAAGAAAATGTGTGATTGAATTTCTATGATGACTGCTAATTTAAAATTTGTGTATGTTTGCTTTTGGTGGGTTTTATTTGCCATTCTTTATAAACTTTAAAAATGTTTTGGGTAATTTCATTTAATTTAATGAGCTTTAGTTGCTGCTTTGTAAAATTAGGACCTATACTTGTTGGATTATGGTTGTATGATATGAGTACAGTCAATCTCGTTATTTGTAAATTCCATATTTGAATTCACCAACTCAGTAGGTAAGTATTAACCCCAAAATCAGTGCTCATAGTGCTTTCATGATCATTTGCAGATGCACTCAGAGCAGGGAAGTGTTGAGCTGCTTGATGTGCGTGTTTCTATCAGGTTGATCAAGGCCACATACTGTCCTTGTTTCCCCTGGAAGCTGTGGTTCCACATGCACTAATACAGTGTTTGTGGTGACTTTATAAAACATAACCATTGTGAATAATGAGAACTGACTATATTTCACATGAAGACTAGGGCTTTCATGTCAGTCTGGTTTTAATTTTGAAGCATTTTGTTCTTACCTGCAAATTGTACTCTGCAGCTTCAATATTTATGAAGTACTTACCCATCAAAGTACAAAATGTCCTGCTCAATCTACAGCTCTAGTAATGTAGCCAGATGGGATTTAAGGCCAGTTTGGGCAGTAAAGAAATTAACTGACAGCAGAAAATCTTTGATTTTTAGGAAATATGTTTTCCGAAGAAGTAAGTGTTCTTTTAAATTGTTACAGCATCTTAATAAAACAGAAGATACCTTTAGTATCTGTTATTGTCATTGAGGATTTGATTTCAGTAATATTTAAAGTAGGTATTAAAATGAAATTTAAATACATAATCTAGGAGGCAATAATTTTTTCTATCAAACTACATTATTTTAAATATCATTTTAATACTTGGCCTTCTCATATCTGTTATTTAAAAATGGCATACATGGGGCTGGGCACATGGCTCAATGGTAGAGAATGTGCAGGGCTCAAGCACCGCAACACACACACACACACACAGACACACACACATGATGTGAATTCCCAATGTTAGCAATGTGTGAAATCTGAAATCAAAATTGCTCAGAAGCTTTTCCTGGGTTCTTTGTACTTCAGAAGTGTTTGTTACTGTTTTGATGGTGTTTGTGTTTATTCTTTTCTACTGCCTTCCCCTCTTAAATTTCTTTTCATTTTCTTAGCTCTTCACTGTTACTTGTGAGATTTTGAAGCAACATAAAATGTTTTCTAAAATACATGAAGCTAATTATTACAAGTCCTAAATTTGAGCCCTTCTTCTGCCATCTTTTAGCTCTTAAAGGAAATATATTTAATCTTCTATTACTCTTGATAGGAGACCACATCAAATGCCCTTGAAGTCTATCCTGGCTCAGGAGTCAAGATTCATTTCCTGGGCCATGGGTAAAGTTTACATTTCATAGGAGCCAAAAAAGCTTTTCTCTTCAGCTGCACTTTCCATTGAGTTCTCCTCTCACCTCTACTTACTTTATTTTACCCACGTCTGCTCTCCTGGACAATTTGTGTAGGGTTAACTGGGGTTAACTGGTGGCCAAAGAGAGTTTGGAATCTGCTCCTTTTTCTTCCCAGCTATGTGACCTTGGAAACTTCTGTGAGTTGATTTACTCTTAAAAGTTCTGTTCAGTTCACCAACTGGGTTCTAGTATAGACCTCAGGGTACAGAGATGAAAAGGAGCCTCCTCATTCTGATACTACTCTGTTTTTAATACAGTAGAAAAGATAGGCAAAAAGTAGAATTTGCAATGAAGTTTTGAAATGACAGTATATTATGTGGGGAGATTTGTTTATTATGCCCCTTCCCTTTACCCTATCCCCATGATGTAATGAATATTGCTTCATTAGCTGAGAGACTAGCTAGAGGAAGAGGTGCTTCTTGTTCCTGGTCAGGAAGAATGACTGGCAGCTTACTGGTTCAAGTGTGGGAAGGATAAGCAGGCATAGTGGGAGCCTATGCACAAAGGAACATGGTACATTCAGAAAACCATGAACATTGTGTGTAGCCAAAGCATAGGATATTATGTCAGTGGTCAGATTTTGGTGAGTCCTATTTATATGTTATGCAAAGGGTTTGGAGGTTTTAGTTTTTTTTTTTTTTGTACTGGGGATTGAACCCAGTGATGCATAACCAATGATCCACATCCCATATTTTTTTAAATGTTTGAGATAGGTTCACACTAAGTTGCGTAGGTCCTCAGTAATTTGCTGGGGCTGGCTTTGAACTTGTGATCCTCCTGCCTCACCTGAGTCACTGGAATTACAGGTGTGTGCCACCATGCCTGGCCAGAGAAATTTTTTAAACATATTTTATGAAAATTTAAATGTATAAAAGTAATAAATAATATATTATTTTATTATTTTTCTTAATAAGTAATATAATAATATAATGAATGCCTGTGTCATCACCTGTTTCATTAATTACCAACATTTTTCTACCCTTTTCCATCACTGACTCTCTCCCATTCCCTTATCTGTAGTGTTGATATGAAAAGTGGCTAGCAGTGACTGGTAAATAATGGGCAAGTGGAAGATGTGAGTTTCTTTGCTTCTGTGTATGTTATTTGTCTCAAACTCACTTTCCCTTAGCCTCAGCTCTGAAAAAAATGAGATTCTCCAGTCAGGGAGAATCTTTACTTTTTAATGACAAAGAATCCACTTTTCTTTTGGATATTTAAGGTATATACACTCATATTTTATCCCTGTAAAGCCCTTTGAGGTATAGGCATGTGTTCGTTGGTATCTTCATCGCACCGCTTAATCCTGAGCCGAGCACAGAAGCAGTGTGCCTTATGTATTTATTAAGGTGAATTAAGTTTCTGGCTTCTTCCCATATGCTCAGTGCATTTTAATCTTAAGACCCAACCATGGATATATGTTTCACATCATCTTTTTCTTAATTTCTTCTAGAAAGCAAGCTTTTTAACTCCTTTTTTCCATTTCTAATAGCATGTTTAGGATGTGAATTTGAATTTTTAAAAAAAAATAGTTTGTATTTAATGTTTCAAATTATTCTGTTTGGGGAACTAATGCATCTAGAAAATAAGAATTACAGATAATTGGGGGATCACATCCCAAATCTAATCTTTGCTTCTGTTTCTTCCCCAGGGCCTGCTCTCTTTCCTGAGTGCCCCCCTCATAGGCGCTCTGTCTGACGTGTGGGGGAGGAAGCCTTTTCTCCTTGGCACTGTGTTCTTCACCTGCTTCCCTATCCCACTGATGAGGATCAGCCCGTGGTGAGTGGCTTAGCTCTTCACTATTGTACCAGTATGTTTTGAGTCATGTGAGAATAATTGAAGTTAAGCAGCCCTAATCCAAAAATTTGAAATTCTCAATGCTCCACACTCCAAAGATTTTCAACCACTGACACAACCATTCTGGTGGTTTGTGTACACAAACTTGGTTTCATGTCAAAAATATTACATAAAATTACCTTCAGGCTATGTGTATAAAGTATTATGAAACATGGATGAATTTCCTGTTTAGACTTGGTCTCACCCCCAAGATATTTCATGGTGTTTATGTAGATATTCCAAAAGAAAAAAAAAAATCTATCTAGTCTCAAACATTTCTGAAAGGCATACTCAACCTGTACTTAACTTTTTATTTTTATTTTTTAGTTGTCAGTGGACCTTTATTTAATTTATTTTTTTATATGTGGTGCTGAGGATCAAACTCAGTGCCTCACATGTTATAGGCAAGAGCTCTACCACTGAGCCACAACCCCAGCCCCTGTACTTAACTTTTGTAGGTAACTTCAAAACCATTTCAAAGCATTTGTACCTGTGCTTTCATTTGTTCTCTTTGGTACTGCCAAAAGCCAGTTTGGGCTATGGACATCCATGCCCATTTTATAAATGAGAAAGGAAAAGGTTCACAGAATTAACTCTCAGATAAATTACTTAGGTAAATAAATAGAAATAAAAGGCAGATATTATTGCCATGGTGTCACTTATAGGAGTGCCATCTTGGGAGTAGCTAACAACCCCCTTGCATCACCACTGTGGCTCATGGATATTGCAAATATACTGTTTTTGTCAGCTCATGGCTTTGGGGCACACCTGAGCATAGTTTGTATCATAATAGATAGGAGTTACCTTTTTCTGTAGTATGGTAGGACTGATAGTCCATTCTAAATCATAATATGAATTTAAATTTGAGTTCAGTTTTTCCCCTTAAGTGCAATAAATCTAGCAGGTAGCCAAACTCTCTTTATTTACCATAGAGAGGTGGGAATTTATACATCCTCTGGAGGCCAGAGCGTGGTATTTTGGGCACTATTCATGCTGCTGAAATGCCCTTTCTATGGAAATACAACACTTAAATCTGGAAAATTTCTTTCGGTGGAGTGTTTTGTTTGTTGGTATTTTGATATGGTGCTGAGAATCAGAGAATTTTGGGATGAATACTCCACCACTGAGCTACATCCTCAGACTTGTTTTGGTTTTTAATGCAGTTAATAGATTCATAGGGTTTGTTTGTTGCCTTGTGTAAAAATACTTTTATTTGATTTTTGACAGGCGTTTCATGTCAACATTTGTTACATTCTAGTAACAAATGGGCCAGGAGTGGTGATGCACACCTGTAATCCTGGCAACTTCAAGATCCTGACTAAAATATAAAAAAGGGCTGAGGATGGAGCTCAGTGGTAGAGCCCCTGAGTTCAATCTCTAGCACCAAAGAAATAAAAACAAGTAAATTTGTTGGGTTCCAATAATCATTTTATTTTCTACCAAGTGATAAAATTTTATAATCTACTACTGATACTGAATCTTCATGTCCAAGAACATATTGTGCTTTGCCAATTAGTTTGGGCTTTGTTTTTTTGTTTGTTTGTTTGTTTTGTCTTTTGCTAGCTTAAAATTCTTTAGATCTGTACATTAAAATTCTTTAGATCTGTACATTTGTTGGTAAGTTTTATTCCTGTAAATCTTGCCCTTTCTGTTTTATTCCAGAATGGGCTTTTTTCTTAAAATTACTTGACTTTCTAGGTATATTAATGTCATCTGTAAATAATTTTTTATCTTATTCCTCCCCGTCATTATACTGCTCCCTGATTTTGTTAATTTTGCTGACTAATGAATAAGATTGAAGTGATGATTGTGGGCTGTTCCTCAGAGGTGTGAGGGGAATGTTGCAGTGTTTCACCCTTAGATCTGAGGCTAGCTTTTGTGTTGAAAATTACTCATTCCTATTTTATCCAGCGATTTTCTTTTGTTAAATCAAGGTTGGCTATGAAAGTTTATCGAATGGATTTTTAGCATGAATGGAGATTATTTGCTTTTTCTCCTTATGAGTTATAATAGGATTAATTATATTACTCTGTTTCCTAATATTGAAATATTCCTGTTGCCTGGAATGAACTCTACTTTTTTCTAAGATTCTGTTTGCTAATATTTTAACTAGGGTTTTTTTTGTTTTGTTTTGTCTTGTTTTGATTGTTTGCTTTTTGGAGTACAGGGGACTCGACCATTGAGCCACTTCCCCAGCCCTATGTTGTATTTTATTTAGAGACAGGATCTCCCTGAGTTGCTTAGCTCCTCACTTTTGCTGAGGCTGGCTTTGAACTCTTAATTCTCCTGTCTCAGACTCTCAAGCTGCTGGGATTGCAGGTGGGTACCACTGCGCCCGGCTTAATTAGGTTTGCATCTGTGCATATAATAGACATTTTTGGTCTCAATTGCATTGATATTTTTGTTATGCTTTTTTCTTTTATGTAGATTTTAAAAAATCATTTGTCATATATGTCCTTTTCTTAATTAAAGCAAGAAAATTTGAAAGATTTTTATTCTGTTGGCTACCTTTGAAACTATATACCTAAAACTGTTAACTTACTCAGTACCTTTATTCTTTTTTTTTCTTGTTTTTTCATTTTTTTAGACCAAATGTATCCCTTTGAGCAATAACAGTGTCTTCCTCCTCATCGTAATTTTTCTGCCTTTAAGTATACATTACCTATACATGTGTATTTACTTCTTGGTTTGTAATCTTTACATGATGTCTTTGGTGCTGGTATAAAGCTATACATAAATGCCTCTCCTGGATAATAAAAATAATCTTTTTATAGGTGGTATTTTGCGATGATTTCTGTGTCTGGAGTCTTCTCAGTCACGTTCTCTGTGATATTTGCCTATGTAGCTGATGTCACTCAGGAGCACGAGCGAAGTACTGCTTATGGATGGGTAAGATAGTGACTTAATTTTTTTAAATTGGAGTGATATTTAACATTCTATTAGAGATTCACTGGGAAGTAAGATTTAAAATACAACTCAGAAGTGGAATTACAGAGGTGTTAGAGCCTGAGCGAGTTAATCTATCGTACTCTGTAGCTGGTTGAGTGTCTTGGGCACTCATTTGATTTATAGTACTGTAGAAAAATAACTATTCATTCAGGCAGCAAATAGTTGTTGAAAAATAACAAAAGTTATAGGGGGACTTTGATAATTTGGTTTATTAGACCATCTTTCTGATATACTCAGACATGATAAATGGTATTGTGGTTGTGTAGGAGAAGAAAGACCTATTAGAAGATGACAGCTGAAGCATTTTGGGTCAGTGTCACAACTCTGCAAATTACTTTCAAGTAGTTCAGGGAAAAAGAGCATAAGCACATGTGGATGAACCACATGAACATGTGCGGGCCCGTTTTCCGTGTCTGAACCTGTTGGTACATACATGTGAGTGTGCATAGTACCCTTCTTCCAAATTCCTCTAAATGAAAATGTTCAAAACAATAATAAGAATAATGATGATCTGGCTGGATTGTGGAGAATAATAGGTTAGAGGGGAATGAATGTCAGAAACCCAGGTAATTACTCTTTTCTTTAAATCCCACTTCCTGGAATAGAGTTAAGTATACCTTGACTGTTACTAAGTGCATAAGTTCACGAATCAGGGATGGGCATGTAGACAAATGTCCACCCTTCCACAAGACAAAGCAATTTTTACTTTGTCAGCTTTAGATAGCAGTAGTTCAAAAACTTTTCTTTCATTCAGCCCCTCCTCCCCGCAACTGCCACCTGCTCACTCTCTTTCCTTCTTGAATTCTTCCCATGCATGTCTGTCATGCCCTATCCTGAAACAAGGGCATCTGCAGAGCGTTGTGAGGACAGAGAGAAAGCTGACAGGGTGGCCTCAAACAAGGCAGGATATTCAAGGTGGCATGTAGGGTTGGCCCTCAGAATGGTACAGAGTGCCAAGAGCTTGTTCATCATAGTAACATAGCTTTCTTCTGCACCATGGGAAATGCCTGCAGAGACACACATTTCCCTGTGATTTTATGAGATTTTTGTCCCTTGCTTTCATCAGAAAACTATTCACAAAGCTATGGGACTGAGCAGCAATTCTCAAGATTTTTGAGAGAGTGAGTTCTGAAATAGTCACCAGAAATGACTCTGACTTACTTTCTTAGCTTAGCTCATCATCATAAGGTGCCATCACCTAAGATGGCAGTTTAGATTAGTGCCTACTCATGGGGCACTGAGAGAAGCCAGTGGGTGCACATCCTAGCTGAGTCAGGGCCCTGCTGAAGTATCCCAGCCAGCTCCAATGATTCAGCAAGTAGACTGCTGGATTTATCCCTTGACCAGTGTCTACCTTGACATTTGCCCCTTGCAGCCTACCTGTCTTACAGAGATAGGTGAATTTATTGCAATTTACTTTCAGGATATGTGAGTTCAATTCTAAAAAGCATTTTGAAATCCATTGAAGGATAATATATAATGTATATGTATCTTCATTACTAAACTTTCTCTAGTAAACCAAGAAAGGATAATTTTTTTCCAGGCCACAGCAGTGAATAGTCCTGTTAATGAGTAAATTAATGCTCTCTGAGAGTTTGTTGTGATGAAGTCATTCTTTAGATTTATTCACCAGAGTCCTGTTGAATGTTATGTGAAGAGGCATTTAGATTTAAAACATCAATAACAAAAACTAAACAAGGAGGCTTCTTTAAATTTTAAAAAAGGCAAAACATTGCAAAAGGTGGTCATTAGTTTTTTGACATCATAGATTTGTTCTCTCTGCACCTCAGGACACTGCGGTGATGCTCCCTTAACCCTGAGGATTCTACCCCAGTGCTCCCACAGAACCTGAAGAGAGTTAAGCATTGCTTTCATCATTGTTCACATGCCACTGCAGTTTACAGTGGTGGTCCTAATCTTCTCAAATTAAGTGGAAAGAGCAGGAGCTTTGTTATCTTTTTCGATTGATATATAGTAGGTACTCACTAAACACTGAAGAAAGGAATTCTTAATTCCCAAATTGGAATTAACATCACCACCCTCTCTCCCTGCCTTCTTTTTTTTCCCTTTGTTTTTTTGTCTGTCTCCAGAAATGCTTTGCTTTGACTTTTGGCTTCTATAGTGTTTTGGCTGTGATAGAATTTCAGATATGTTGAATTTTAAATTAAGCTGGGGGATAAAAGATGATAGAAGAACATCATTGGCTTACCAGGAATCATAATTCTAATCATAGGTGATGATTCTGTTAAGATCTATTAGAAGTTTAAATACCTTACAGATATGTTTTTGCTACTCAATTTGTTTATAATTTGGAGTATGCCCAATAAGCTTCTGAGTGTTCACAGTGCGTTCTAAAGTATGGGAATGTAAGAGCACAGTGGGAAGAGACTCAGTGTGGCTTCAGATTGTACATGCCATTGACTGGCTCTTGGTCTGTATTGGACAGTTGATAGGGTTATGAAATCCACAGTTCACTTCTAATCAGAAAGAAAACTTCTCAACACATTTTGCATTCTTTTTTTATTATAGTTTTTTCTCCTAAGAATATCAGGGTTTTTCTTCACTCTGGGTGCTAGTAAAATGGTCACCAAATGGTGAAATAGTGCCAGGTTTTTGAAAGATGAATCAGGCACACTCCCTGAGAAATTTGTAGGTTTTATCATCAGCTCTACAGGGATTATTTTTATACCCTTCTCCATGCATTTCCATTCTCCAGTTAAAGACCAGAGTGAATGTTTTATTTATGGGGTAAGTTTTTACAATTTTAATTTCTGATATTTTTTACTCCCCATAGCTCTCTAGGATATCTCCAGTTAGTTAACAAACTAATTTATTCACAAGTAAATAAATGTGAATAAATTATTAAACAGAATTACTTTAATTCTTTTTCATTCTTCAAATTTGTATGCAACAGATTCTTTTTTTCTTGTTTAAAGCCAGGAGAAAGGATTGGTGCAGGGTTGCACCTGGGGGACCCTGGGTGAGAGAGTGCTTTTTCACAGGTGTGCTCCTGCAGCAGGCAGGACTCTGGGTAGGAACATGTTTTCTCTACAGGTGTTCACCTGTGCCACCCTAAGTGATAGTGCACTTTCCCACAGGTCTCAGCCACTTTTGCAGCTAGTCTTGTCAGCAGCCCTGCCATTGGAGCATACCTTTCTGCAAGTTACGGAGACAGCCTCGTTGTGCTAGTGGCCACAGTGGTGGCTCTTCTGGATATCTGTTTCATCTTGGTGGCTGTTCCAGAATCTTTGCCAGAGAAAATGAGACCGGTTTCCTGGGGAGCTCAGATTTCTTGGAAACAAGCAGACCCTTTTGCGGTAAATTGAAATATTCACTTTGTAAATATCTGACTATGGCAAGCAAATAAAATAATAAGCAAGCAGCCTCGAGGATCCCAGCAGATAGATCTATTGCTTTCTCCAGTAAAAATAGAAAAATCTTAAATTACAAAATATGTAGAATTGGTACCTAAGCCAAGCATGTCATATAAAAGAGAAGAAAGGTAAAAATCCAGTTAATCTCTGATGACAGTTTATGAAAGAAGTTTCATTTTGCATAGTTGTTTTCATTCTTTTTTTTTTTAAGTAAATTAAGTGAAGGTGGTCATCTGAAGTGAGTTCACTTTAATTCAAAAAGGATGATGCATTTGATCTGACTAAAATAGTTATTTTCTAAATTGTTAATATACATACACTATGACCAGAGGCTGTGAACCTAGATTTTGCTATTAATTATGTAAAAAAAAAAAAAAAAATTTTTTTTTTTTTTTGGTGAGTCGCGAGGTGGTAAAGGATATACTTCACTAACTAACAGAAAAAATGCTGAGAAAAGTATCTTATCTCTTCCCCAATCCCTTTCTAGTTTGAAATTATTCTTGAAAGAAATACATGTGGGGGGAAAAAGAACCAGAGACTTGATTTTTGCTTTTTTTGTCCCCCAAGTTTACCTTTTAGGAAAAATACAAATAAAATTGAAATGTATTTCATCAAAGTTTTTTTCTAAAATGCCCACTCAGAGCATAACCTGGTTGACCTTGTGTGTTCTTTTTGGGCCAGAATGTCAGAAAACAAAGAAGGAGTTTGTGAAAGGAAACAGGAGTGACCCGAAAGCCCGTCAATTGGGCTTCCCACCATTGTCATATGGCGATCAAGTTTGTCACAGAGGCTTCTCTGTAAAGTGGAACTACTGTGGCTTACTTTTCAGAGGAGTTGAGAACTGTACAGTTCACATTTATCAGTGAACTAGTGTCTGGTGTGAAGCAAAGTCTCAACAGACATTGGCTGGTTTTTTTTTTCTTTGTTTTAAATATATACATATATTTTAGTTGTAGATGTACACATTACCTTTATTTATTTATCTTTATGTGGTGCTGAGGATATAACCCAGTGCCTCACGTGTGCTAGGCAAGCGCTCTACCATTGGGCCACAACCCCAGCCCTCATTGGCTATTTTTGCTATTAATTATATAAAAGTTACAGGATGCTGACCTAGCTGTGCAGCAGCACTTTCCATTCCTTCAGTAACAGTACACCTTTTGGTTCTGTTCAGTTACTGTGTAAATAAAAAGGATTTTTCAACAAAGTTGTAATGTTCAAAAGGCTCTCACTGGTCTGAAGCATATTTTTTTTGTCTACTAGGTTTACAGGTAAAATGAAATCATTATTTTGAAGGCTAGAATGAACTTAGGTGTAATGAAAACCCTATAGTGGATATGATCTTAAAGAAGTTATATTATAAATCAAGAGAGAAGGGGCTGGGATTGTGGCTCAGTGGTAGAGCGCTCACCTAGCACGGGCGGGACCCAGGTTCGATCCTCAGCACCACATAAAAATAAAGGCATTGTGTTGTGTCCATCTACACCTAAAAAAATAAATATTAAAAATAAAAATGAATCAAGAGATAAAAGTGATTTTCTTCAGTGAATCTATAGAAATACATTTTCAGGGCCTGTTTATAGGCTATTTGGGACCTGTTAGGGGTGTGAACCAGTGTTAACAAAGGTGAGCAAGTGCTTTTTAAAAAGCTACAATCCTGGAAATACATACTTCTAAAATAAGAACTTAAAACTTCCACAGAGAGCTGGTTATAGATTTCATATTAAGACTGACTTCCTTTTATAATGCATTGGACTTTTATTATCCATCTTAATAGATCAGCTTAGTGAACCCATTTTCCAAATGTTGGTGACATTATACCTATTAGCTTTTTATGTTGCTTTCTGCTTATTCCCAGTCATTGAAGAAAGTTGGGAAAGATTCTACTGTCTTCTTAATCTGCATCACCGTGTTTCTTTCATATCTTCCCGAAGCTGGACAGTATTCAAGTTTTTTTCTCTATCTCAGGCAGGTAAGTAATGGATGTCTAGTGGCATCTGAACGTGAGTAACAGCAAAGATTGGAATCTATCCAAGGATAATTTAGGAAAACTCTATAGAGAAGAAAATGTGAACTTGCTTCTAGTTATTAGTGCTGACAGAGAGTTAATTCAATGATGACTTAAAAGGCGGCAAAAAGCCAGGTGCAATATGAATTGTAATGTATTCTGCTGTCATATATAAATTTTTTTTAAAAAAGAAGCCAGATGCGGTGACACATGCCTGTCATCCCAGCTACTCAGTTGAGGCAGGAGGCTCACTTAAGCTCATAACTTTGAGACCAGCCTGGGCAACATAGCAAGATCCTGTATCAAAACATAATAATAAAATAAAATCTAGCAAGATATCTACTTTGGAAAAAATCCTTTTGAGAATTATACAGAGAGGATTAGCAGAAATAGAATTTACTGTAATTTTTTAAGTCTTTTATTGAGCAGTTTTAGGTACATAGCCTCTTCCACTATCAACATCCTGGCACCAGAGTGGTCTTTTTGTTAGAATTGATGAACTACATGAATGCATTAGCCTCACTCAGAGTCTGTAGTTTACATTAGGCTTCACTTCTTGGTGTTGTACATTCTGTGGGTTTATACAAAAGTACAATGACACGTTTCCAGCGTTTTAGTGTCAGAGTATTTTCATGCCCTAAAGTTCCTTATGCTCTTCCTATTCATCCCTCTCCTTACCCACAACTCCTGATCTCTTTAACTATCTCCATAGTTTTGCCTTTGCTAGAATGTCATAGGGTTGGAATTGTACCATTTATAGCCTTTTTAGAGTGACTTCTCTCACTTAGTAATATGCATTTAAGCATCCTTCATGTCTTTTCTTGGCTTGTTATTCATTCTTTTCATAGTTCATTTCAGCAATTGGGTGTTCCATAATTTATTCATTCACCTACTGAAGGATACCTTGCTTGCTTCCAAATTTCAGCAGTTATGGATTAAGAAGTTAGATACATCCATATAGCATGATGTTTTAAATTCATGACAGTATCCATGAGCTTTCACCTGGGTCTGATTATAGCCATCTTGCTGACCCAGCCTCATTGCTGGCTTCTCAGCTGCTGCTCTGGACCTCAAGATGGTTCACAAGCAATAAATGGAATCTATTCTCTCTGCCGATATTTTTCTCTTTAGAAGTATATACCTATTTTACCCTCACCCAGATAGGTGACTGATTAAGATAATTACAACAAACATTACCCTTCCTTGTCTAGCTGTTCTTCTGGTCTCTGGACTTGCATAGACCTGACCTACTTTTCATTTGGTCCTGCCCTATTATTGACTTCACAGGAAAGGTAGAACTGTTCTCCTTCTAAGATAAATTCTCCTAGTTTTTGTAGATACTTTTAAATGAATATTTCCCTTGGTGCTGGGCATTGAACCCAGGGCATTGGGCTTGCTAGGCAAGCATTTTTAAGCTGAGCTACAACTCCAGCCCCCAAAGTGAAGTTTGATGAAATCTCATCTGCTGGTTTTCCTGAGAAGAGTGGCAAGATAGTGTTTAATATAGAAAACTATGCTTTCATTTATAATTAAATTAAATGTGCACTTAATATAGACAGAAATGTAGGTAAAATAGGAAAACCCAAGGAACAGAGTAAAAAAGAATCAGATCTCTTCATATAGATAATAAACAACTACAATTCTAATCTTCTAACTCTTTTTCCTGTACTATGTTCATTTCGCCACAACCATCACCAATTATAACAGCAAATCAGAATTATTCTGTGTTATTTTATGTTTATGCTTGCTTTTAAGAGTAATTAACACAAACCATTTTCTTACATTTGATAATGATCTTGTATCCAAAATACATATAGAATTCTTTCATTAATAAAAAGACAACCCAATTGAAAATATAGGTTATTTCTCCAAGAAAGATACACAGAAGACCCATTAACACATGAAAAGATGCACTTTATTAGCTGTCAAGGGAATGCAAATCAAAACAAGGTTTCACTTCACATACACTAGAATGGCTATAATAAAAAAGAAAGGGATGTAGAAAAATCAGAACCTTCAGACATCCTGGTGGAAATGTAAAATAGTATGGAATGGTGTAGCTGATGAAAAGAGGAAGAATCTAGCAGTTCTTCACAATGCTCAATGTAGAGTTACCACAGGACCCAGCAGATCTATTCCTAGGTATATATCCATGAGCAATGAAAGCACAGAACTTGTAAACAGATCATTATTCACGGTAATCAAAAAATAGATGGGGCTGCGGATGTGGCTCAAGCGGTAGCGTGCTCGCCTGGCATGCGTGCGGCCCGGGTTTGATCCTCAGCACCACATACAAACAAAGATGTTGTGTCCACCAAAAACTAAAAAATAAATATTAAAAAAAAATTCTCTAAACTCTTTTTAAAAAAAAAATAGAAACAATGCAAATATCCATTAACTAATTGAACAAATTAGCAAATGTGTTCTATCCATATAATAGAATATCATTCAGCAATAAAAAGCAATGAAGTACTGATATGCCCTACAACAACGTGAAAGCACTATACTAAGTGGAAGAAGCAGTCACAAACACCCTGGTGTTATATGATTCCATTTATATAAAATGCCAGAGACAGGAAGCGGGTTAGGGGAGAAGTAGTCTGGGGGAATGGATCTCTTGATGGGTGCTGTGATTTTTCCAGGAGTGGTAAAATCTTTTTAAATTAATCTTGGTGATTTGTTACCCAACTCTGTGAATGTACTAAAATCTTTGAATTGTTCACTTATAATAGGTGAATTGTATGCTATTTAAACTATCTCCATAAAACTATTAAAAATACTCTATATTTATAAATGTAAGCTGAGAATCCCTAAATAAAGCTGAATTCTCAGGTTCCATTTTTTTTAATTGCATGTAATTAGATGGTAATAGAATATTGTTACTATCAACAGCACTGATTTGGAATTCTAGCCCTAGCACATTGTAGATGGACACAATACCTTTATATAGTTGTGAGATTGGGAGCAAGATACTTATAAAATGAGAAGAATATATAAAATTATTTTAAAATACTTGTTCTGAATTTTATAGAATTTTAATAATTATGTCCTTTTCAAATTTTAATGTTTAAAGCTTAAGAAGTTTAGGCATTTTAGAGCTAATGTGAAGATTAGAGTGCTTAGAAGTCATTGCCAGTCCACTTCTGCTGCTTACTCATTAGAAGTGCCATGGGAGCTTCTTAGAACAACCTGTCTCTGGGCCAGACTTTGGAGTCTGATATCATCAGTCTCCAGTGGACTCCAGCATCTCATTGCTCTCTACTTCCTCCCCTTTTCCCCCGACACGATTTTAACATGCAGCCACAATTGATAGCCACTGACTCCATTGGTGAGCAGATTTGTATTTGCAATATCAAAAGTCAAGCCATTTTCTTTCATAATTTCTCTGTTGCATATTATTGCAAGATTTGTCAATTTATAAGTTGGAAGTGGAGAGGAAATAGAAACAAGGTAGCTATATAGTAAGAAATATTATCAAAATGACATTTTACAATTTAAGATGTGCCTGCTTATAATGATTTCTTAGATTTATAGATAAAATACTGGTTAAGTAGGTTCAGGTTTCAGCACTGATCTAATTTGCCATTGATTTTTATGAACTTTCCTCAACTATTTTATCCTGTTGTTTTAAAAGAACTTATCTTTGTTACTTAGATATTTTCTTTCATTTCCTTAGGTCATAGGCTTTGGATCTGTTAAAATTGCAGCATTCATTGCTATGGTAGGAATTCTGTCTATCGTAGCTCAGGTGAGTATAATTTCACCCATGCTTTAAAAAAAAAAAAAGTATTCACAGGAAACACATATACAAGGATAGGGAGAGCCTCTGAATTGCTGCCTCAGTCCCTGTGCTCCTGCTGTGACACACCTTATACAATTAGAGTATAACATCAAATCCAGAAATTTGATGGGAACATGACCCACAAAACTTTCCCTTTTTGACAAGAGTATTGAATTCAGGACTTAAGAAGGAACTTCATACTATTTTAGTAGAATTGTAACTTGCTGGGTCAGTTCTTTTATTTGCCTCTAAAACAATGAAAATTGTAAGTAACTATGATATAATTCTTAGATATTGCAAAATTAACTAGAAAAATGTTTCAGTGTTAATAGTGAAAAGTAAGTAGAAATAAGTAACAATAACTTTTCCAATTCTACTATTCCTAGGACAAAAAAAAAATGAGAGTCATTGAGTTAGAATATATGCAGTGACTAAAGGAGTATTCAGTGTTTTCCCATCTGTTATAAATACAGGATCACAAGAGGCAGGGAATGCGTTCTCTGCCTTGGTCTACTGTTGTGCTTAGGTGCATTCACTATATCTTTTTTTTTTTTTTTTTTTTTTTGTAGATGGACACAATACCTTTATTTTGTTTATTTAGCTTTTGTTTATGTGGTGTTGGGATCAAACCCAGTGCCTTACAATGTTAGGCAAGCACTCTACGACTGAGCCACAATCCCAGTCCCGAATTCACTATATCTTAAGAGACTGCCCAGAGGCTGTTGCCTTCAAATGGCCTCCAGACTGAGCAGAGTGCTCTTCTGTAATTCACTTTCCAGGACAAGTAAGAAGACTATGAGATTATTTCTGCCAAATACTGAAATTGACAAGGCACAACTATTTTTCTGTATTAGCAAATATAAATTATGTTAATTTTTCATGTTGATCATGATTTTGGTTTGTTTTTTACATTGACCCTTGTTGATCAACCCAGCTATCTTTTATCCTACTCTCCTTTGGACTATCCCAACTAGTTATATAACTGAGGACATATTTGTTAAAATCAAACTTAAAACAGTCCCAACTTCATGAAACTGTTAACTTCCAGCAGAATCCCACATGTTCTGTAAATGTTCAGCAGGGGTTTCTCTACACCTGTAGTTAAGTGGTTGGCATTTGTCCAAAGAGACTAAGGCGAGTCCTTCTCTCAATCATAGAAACTGATAAGAGCTGTGGTGACCTTTTGGGTGGTGCCAGTAGAGCACCAAGTAGACAAGCTAGCTACTCAGGGAGGAGGCTCAAGGCCTGAAAGCCCAGATCAGTCCTGGAGCCCCTGAAATTCCACCCCTGAAGAGATGCATAGCACTGCCCAGCCTCTGAGATCACAGGTAGGCATTGTACCCTTCCTTAGAGGTCCCAGGTAATCAGTGAGTGGGCTTCATTTGGTTCACAAAGCTTGTGTTCAAATTCTGTGTGTTCTCATGGTTTCTCAGGGTTGTCTCCTTTCCTTTGCAGACGGTCTTTCTTAGCATTTTGATGAGGTCGTTGGGGAATAAGAATACTGTCCTTCTTGGCTTGGGCTTCCAGATGCTCCAGTTGGCCTGGTATGGTTTTGGAGCTCAGGCCTGGTAAGCTTATACCCTTAGATTCTCTTGAGTTCACAGACAAATGTGTCTTAGAAGAGCTCCAGCTAGTTGAGTGTAATGAGAAGGAAGAGTTATTTCACTGGTTTGTTGTATGTAACCTTTCAAAACATTTAGACTTTTAAGTTGGGCAAGGGTGGAGCTAGATAATTTTAAGGTAATTTGTAAAGATTACCTTCACCTCAACAGGCTTTCACTGAATCATTCCTTAATTAAATATGTGTCTCTTTTCTCCCAGCCCTCCAGTAAAGTTCTGTGTCTACTTTTTAAACATATTTGTTAATTTTTAGGGGCATCACAGTCAAACAAAAATACAAGATTCACTGCCATAATTAGCTGAGAGACCTTTGGTAATAATATAACATTTTTAAGTTTGGCGAACACTGACATCTCTTCCAAAGCCATGTGTACCCTAACATTATTACTACTGTATATTAGATTCCCTTGAAAAAGAAGGCCAGAAAAAGCCCTGTGAAATAAAAAGCACCAAAAAGATACCTGAGCTCCATTTTGTTGTATGACATTTCCCTTTGTGCCTGAGTGCCAAATACTGGAGTTCCTGTCTCCATTTTAGACACCAGAGTGGCCCTCACTGTGCATTACTAAATGGAGGACATGATTTGGAGAAATGGGAAATGCTTCAGTGGTCAGAGGTTAGTTCTGAAAGAGATCAGAATGTCATTTGAAGTACTTGTTCTTTGTGACTTTTTAGGTAAGATTAACTTTGTTGGTTTTTCTTATTCTAATTTTATTTTGGTCCTGTGAACGTTGGTTCAGTAGCTGATTTAGTCACAACTCTCTCAGTGTTATAAAGACTGTTATCTTGAAGAGTTTTTTTTTTTTTTTCAGTAAGCATTATCCCCAAGGAAGTCTAGTCCAGCAGGTCACAAGTACAGTTAGGGCCTCGCTGTGTGCACACTCGGACTTGATATTGACTGGCATGTAAGCCTCTTTGACCAAGAAGAGGACAAAGGTCTGAGGGCAGCAGGCTGTGTTTGTTCAGTTGATGGCACACTGCTCTGTTGAGGGCTACGTGAGGGTGAACCTTCAAGAAGTGCAAAGAAAAGTGGAATGTCATGGGGAAGCATGATATTAAAAGAAACAAGAGCTTACATTGAGCTTACATCTGCAGGTAGTATTAGGGAAACCAGGGAGAAGCAAAGATTTTTTAAAGAGTAGAATAGGGAAATGAAGCTTTCCTGGAATTTCTCCCCTACCCAGACTATGAAGTGATGGTATTCACAGTGTGAAATCTATTTTTAAAGAGGAAAAAAATAAATAAAACTGGCAAGAGGAAACAAAAGACCTTTGTACTTTTGCCACTGACTGCATTCGAGCCAGGAGCTCCTTGGTGCCTGAACTCAGCCTGTGCTGTCATTTCAGGATGATGTGGGCTGCAGGGACCGTGGCTGCCATGTCCAGCATCACATTCCCGGCAGTCAGCGCTCTCGTCTCTTGGAATGCAGATTCAGATCAGCAAGGTGAGGTTGCGCCCTCGCTGTTTCCTCCTTCAGCTGAGATCTCCCTACCCGAAGCCCTCCACATCGATAGCAGGAGGTGACAGCCCTGTGGTCCCTGTTCCAGGAGCATACCTGTTTCTTTGCCACATAAGAAAGTTGTTTTCCTCCCTGCTTGGGTCTTAAATTCATACTTTGAAAACCTGGACTCATCAGTTCAGATTACTAAGAGTTAAAATGGAAAATGTGATGTTCCTTTTTCAATTTTTTACTCCTTTTGTCTGTTTGCGGCAGAATTAACCAGACTATTCGTATTTCAACGATTGTCTATTAAATAATGATGGCTAGTTAGCAATGAAATATTTTACTTCATAACTAAAATTAATTGGAATAGTTCAGAGTTAAAGAGCTTAGTTTAGGAAATTGTTCTTTGGAAGGATAAAGAAAAAATAAATCTGTGGTTCTTGGTGATTGGATACAGAATAAGAGGTAAAGTAAGTAACAAGTACTGTGCAGAAGGCAGACTGTTAGTCATTTTTCTTGTGTCTCTGCTCCCTTTTCAGGCAGTTCTCCCTTTTCAGGAAATAATCCATTTCCTTCTCCATCTCCTAATGTCTTACCTTACTGTGGTCAAGAAATAGGAAATTTTAGAGGGAAAAAAATTTTTTTAATGCCTAAGACCTCTATTAAAAATATCAAAAACTGGATTGGAAAAGAAAGTTTATTCACTGCACCTGTTTTTTCACGTCAGAAATTAGCCATCTTATTCATAACCAGTTTTTTAAATATACTTTTAGATGTTGATGGACCTTTATTTTATTCATTTATTTATATGCAGTGCTGAGAATCAAACCCAGTGCCTCACACATGCTAGGCAAGCACTGTACCACTGAGCCACAACCCCAGCCCTTCATAACCATTTTTAAATAGTATCACTGGAAGACCACAAATTCTGTGTCAACCTTAGCTGTAGTAGTGAGTCAGCTGGCTGTGCATCCTCAGGGAAGTACGGTGTGTGAAGTCATGGGCTTTCTGTGGAGGACTCCTTTCATACAGAGCATGCATTTTATTAGTTTTTGTTTATGCTTATACTTATCAATACAGATGTTACAAAACTATTGGAATACATTGTATTAGGCTGAATTATATTTGACCATTTTTTACTTCAGAAATACCCATATCATATGGTTCAAGCTAATTTTTCACCTGCCATGTTAGAAAGCAGAGATATCTAAAAATTGGTACTTCTAAAAAATTTCACTTCAGGTCTATGTGGAGATGGATCTGGAATGCATATGGCAGCCATGGGGGCTAGTCTCCCTGGTGGTAGAGGGTGTAGAGGGCTACATTTTACTCACATATAGCCAGGACTGTCAGAGGTAAAGAGCAGATTTTTATTGTAAATTCAATAGTAAATGAGTAGAGCAGGAAGATCTCAGTTCATTAGTTTTGTATTTTATTCCTTATTTACAGGCAAGTCTTGTTGATGTGGGGTATTCAGCCCCAAAAGGATTTCAGAAACTGAAATTACTGTCATTTCATCTCTTCATAGACCTCAGTACAGAGCAAGAAATGGGCCTAATAAAATCAAGAAAATGTTTGTGTAATGAATGAAAATATGGTGAAATCTTTCTAATCCATTTTCCTGCACTCTGTACTTTCTGCTCAGCCCAGTTGAATCAGTTTATCGGTTTATATAAGAGAGTACTGTTAACCTCCACATCTTGAGATGCTTTTCTGAGAAGACTGACTCCCTTCTCTTATTCTGATACAGGAGTTGCCCAGGGGATCATAACTGGAATAAGAGGACTATGCAATGGCCTGGGGCCAGCACTGTATGGCTTTATATTCTACATGTTCCACGTAGAATTGACTGAGTTAGGCCCAGAATTGAATTCTAACAGTGATGCCCTACAGGTAATTTGAAGTGCAGCTTTTTAAATTTTTTTTTTTTAAACAATGGTTATATCTGATGGTAGCAAAATTTTGTGATCTTAAATTTGAAGAGCATTCTTACTTGTATGTTACTGTCGAATTTGACAGTAATTTCTGTATTCATTGCTTCCCAGAATCATTTCAGAAATTTAATATCTTACATAAACGATTTGTCTTAACTTTGTTCGGATTCTGCCTTTACCTGCACAATCACTGTACTCGGGATACTACTCTCTGGCTAACGTCAGGCTAAATAAAATGTCCTTAAAATCCAGCTAAAAATTGAGCTAGAGTGCCTTTTAAATTATTTTTTGAAAAGCAAAAAAAAATAGAGTAGTATGGATTTAGTATAGATTTCTGTGCAAAAGTGTAATTAATAATGTTTACGTACAGAACTGCATGATTTGATGTGCGTCACAGGATGAGATTTCAGATAAATGTCTATTGCTTATAGGCTTACAGGTTGGGTTAAGCTATTTAAAAGTTGTACAAAAAAGCAGTGATGAGTTCCCATGTCATAATCCAAATACCAAGCTCTATTCGTTTGCCCTGACATTTAGTGATATATCTGCTGCTTGAGAAAAATGATTCACTTTTTGGTGATGGGATCTCTTTTTGGGGGTCATTCAAGACTAATTTTGGATTAAAGAAACTAATCAAACTCTGTCTCCATTTGTTTCCCACACCCATTAGGGAGCTGTCATCCCAGGCCCACCATTTTTATTTGGAGCATGTATAGTTCTTATGTCTTTTCTGGTTGCCTTATTCATCCCTGAATACCGGAAAGCCAGTGGAGTTCAAAAACATAGCAACAGCATCAGCGGAAACCTAACCAACACCCCAGAACGAGGCAGTGATGAGGACATTGAGCCACTGCTGCAAGATAGTAGCATCTGGGAGCTCTCCTTTGAAGAGCCTGGGAATCAGAGCACTGAGCTGTAAACTCACCAGAAAATGGGATTCTGCAGATGACCACCTCTGAGAGCCATGGAGGGAGCCGCAGCACATGGAGACTTCATGGTGCTGGAGGGGCGATGCTAGTGGCATCCTTCAGGCCAAGTTGATAAGTGACTCCTTCTGTCTCTCTGCCCTTCCTCCTGTCCTCCTTCCGTTTCTTTTCTCTCATTCTTTTTTATTTGTACATTAGAAGAAGGTAAGATTTGAAATACTTCCCTGCAGGTAATGTACAACTCTCAAGGTCATCTGGCGTCTGCACTTTGAAAAGTCATCTCTGATAGAAAAGATGGATTTCCTTTAATAACTGGAATAATCTTTCCATGGCTTTTTGAACAGAAGGTGCAGGATTAGAGTGGAACTGCCATCTTGGGCAAGATTTCAAGTAAAGAATCCCTTCTTTTTTCTTCCGTCCTCCTTCTTGGATTATTCCCACTTAGCCCAGAGGTATTGATGAGTGGCTATTCTTAATAGTCCCTCAGTTTCAGGGATCTTTTGCCTTTGTCCAAAGGTCAAATGAAAACCTAATTTTACTCTCCCTTTATTTCCTCTACACCCAGTGCTTGTCTAAAATGAACATTAATAATATGGATTGATGGTAACCTTAACCAGCTTGAAGAAAATCTTTCTTACAAATTCAAATATGTTGAACTACCAACACAGATTCCTGGACCTAGTGTCTGATCAGATTCAGAAGAAAAAAAGAAAATATATCAAGCCTAAGATGATTTTAAAGATGAAAAAAAGTTCATCTAGCCCAGTGCAGTGGCACGCGCTTATGATCCCAGCAACTAAGAGGCTGAGGCAGGAGGAGCACTTGTTCGAGGCCAGCCTGGGCAACTTAGCAAGACCACCAAACACAACACATACATACACACACACACACACACCTCGCAAACACAAGCATTCTAGTGGCAACAAAGAAAAGAAATTGGAGAGTGCTTCTAAGAAAGTTTTAAACAATTTGAACATTCCTAAGAGAGGATGAGAGTAACTCAAGTCTCAGTAGAATTTATGTCCAACTTCAGACTCATAATACATTATTACTGTTTGCTCCTTCCTACGTCTCCCATGTCCTACTTCTCAGTTCTGTTCCATCACACTCCTGCCTTAACTGCTGTGTAGTATGCATTTATTTTCAATTAATCTTTATCTCAGTCTGTTTATCTGATTTTTGAAACTCATGGGAAAACGCACATCAAATTCCTTTCCAAAATATGAGGGTTTAGTGAAGCTCAGTTTCACAATAAGTGTCTTGCTAATTTTTTGCGATGTTTTATGGACAAAGAAAACTTTACAGATTTATATGTATTTTGCTGCACAGTAATGGACCATTACCTAGGGCCTACCTTTAACAAAGCACTCCTTTGGAAGTTTTATAGGTATGAAATATATGTAGATATTTGTAAGGGTTTTAATTTTTTTGATGGGGTGCTGTGTAAATCTTGTATTTATAAATGTAATGAAGGTATTGACAGAAAAAATATATACAACTTTTATAAAGGATTGTGTACTGACTGAATACATTTAAAAGAAAATATATTTTGAAACCTGTTCTCAATGAACAGAGATAACATATCTTTTTACTATGCTGTTGGTTTTTAGGTTTAAGCTTCCTAATGCATAATAAATTTGCAATGGATACTTTTATGCTTTTTGTGTTTTTTTAAACAGATTGTATCATTGCTCTTTTTGGTTCTCTTCGGTGGTTTTCTACTAAATTGAGTTCTTAATCCTTTATATTAAACGATATTTGTATTTTCAAGAAAAAATTTTAACGAAGTTCCTTCCAAAATCTCCTATAAAAACAGATCATAACTTTTTAAAAGCAGCAACAGATAATATCTGTACTCATGTATGCAGCAGAATTATTCACAATATCTAAAAGGTAGAAGAAAGCCAAGTGTCCTTGGTCTGATGAATGGATAAGCAACATGTGTATCTATACAATGGAAATTCGGGACTGGGGCTGTGGCTCAGTGGTAGAGCGCTTGCCTACCATGTGTGAAGCACTGCGTTTAATCCTCAGCACCACATAAAAATAAATAAAATAAAGGTATTGTTTCCATCTACAACTAAAAAAAATTTTTTTTAAAAGATGGAAATTCTGACACATGCTACAAAAATGGTTTAACATTGAAAAGATTACACTAAAGTGAAATAAGACAATCATAAGAGGACAAATCTTGTGTGATTTCACTCATGAGGTACCTAGAGAAGTATCACATTGAGAGACAAAAAGAAAAAATGGTGGTTGTCAGGCTGGTGGAGGGGAAAAGTGGGAAGTTATTTTATGAGTGCAGAGTTTCATTTTGCAATATAAGGAAAATTCAGGGGTGGGAGGGTTGGTAGTTTGCATAACAATGTGAATTTACAGCTCACCTAGCGCCTAGCACGTGGGAGGCCCTGGGTTCAATCCTTAGCGCACATAAAAATAGATAAAGATATTGAGTCCAACTACAACTAAAAATTAAATTTTTAAAATGTGAATTTACTTAAAACCACTAAATTGCACCCTTAAACATGGTTAAAATGGTAAATATTTAGTTACATAATACTTATATTATGTGTAAAATTATTATCATAATTTTCGGGGGTGTGTATCAGGGATTGAACTCAGGGGCTCTCAACCACTAAGCCACATCCCTAGCCCTATTTTGTATTTTATTTAGAGATAGGGTCTCCCTGAGTTGCTTAGTGCATTGCTGTTGCTGAGACTGGCTTTGAATTCACAATTCTCCTGCCTCAGCCTCCAAAGCCGTTGGAATTGCAGGCGTGTGCTACCATGCCCATCAGTATTTTATCATAATTTTTAAAATGCTCCCATAGCATCTGTTTTTCAAACTATCAAAATCACCTTTTCATCTATTTTAAAGTATATAATTCAGTGGTTTCTGTATATTCACAATGTTGTGTGACCATTTGCACTAATTATTAAACAATTCCCTCTCTCCCCACAAAGAAATCCTTTACCCATTAGCAGCTGTTCTTAATTCTCCCATCCCCATGCAATCAGTAATCTACTTTCTCTATATATAGGTTTGCCTATTTGGAGTTCATTTCATATGAAAAGAATCATACAATATGTGCTTTTATGTCTTGACTTTTTACTTAGCATTTTTTAAGGTTCATCCATGTTGTAGCATGTATTTCTAAGGTTGAATTATATTCCATTATGTGTGTGTAATTTTTGTTTATGCATCAGTTGATGGACATTTGGGTTTTTCTCTCTGGGTTTATTATGAATAGTGCTCTGTGAACATATATGAATATGTTTTCAGTTCATTCTGGATGGGAGTAGAATTTTTGGGTTATGTGCTAATTCTGAGACATTACCAGTTTTCCACAACCACAGCACACTTCTTAATTCCTATCTGCAATATAGGATGGCTACAGTTTCTCCATATCCTTTCTAGTACTTGTTATCTTCTGTTTTGTTCTTTATAGCCATCCTATTGGGTTTGAGGTAGAATCTCATTACAGTTTAGTTTGCATTTCCCTAATGATGTTGAACATCTTTTCAAGTGCTATGTTTGCCATTGATAGTTTCTTTGGAGAAGTTTGTTGGAGTCCTTTGTCTATTTTTTAATTGAGATATTTGTCTTTCTGTTGATGAATTGTGCAAGTTCTTTGGAAATTCTGAATGATAGAGTAATAGCCATTGATGGATAGAAGTTTTAAATTTTGACAGGCTTGGTTTTTTTTTTCTTTTGTTGCTTGTGTTTTCTAAGTCATCTAAGAATACTTTTTCAAATCCAAAGTCATGAATATTTACCTGTTTTCTTCCAATAGTTTTGTAGTTTTAGTTCTTATGTTTAGGACTTCAACCCATCTCAAATTAACTTTTGTGTCTGGTAGGGGTCAAAGTTTACATTTTGGCATGTGGATATGCAGTGATTTCTGTACCACTTTTTGAAGAAAACATTCTTTCCCTATCAAATTGTCTTGGTACCCTTGTCAAAAATCAGAAAACGGTAGATAATATGAGTTTGTTACTGGACTTTTAATTCCTTTCCATTGGTTTATATTATAGAGTGCCAGTTCTATACAATTTTGATTGCTATAGCTGTATAGTAAGTTTTAAAATTAGGAAGTGTGTTCTTTCTTGTCAACATTGTTTTACCTATTTCATATTCCTTTTGAATACATATGAACTTTACTTTTGACTTTTCCATTTTTGCCACATTAAAAAAAGATTTTGATATGCATTGCACTGTAACTCTAGATGGCTTACTTTAGGTTGTATGCAATCTTAACAGTATTAAGACTTCCATCCATGAACATGGGATTTTTTTCACTTTATGCACTGTCACTTACATATGATAACCCCACTATTGGTGTGTCTAAACTTGAATATTTGAAATTTTAAAAATAGAGAGGAAAGCAGAATAAAAGAGATCTGCTTTCAATAAAATAAAATCTCTGGAACACTAAGAAGGCGGTTCTCTGAGGAAAGTTCATAGCACTGAGCTCATTCATTAGAAGAATAGAAAATCACCAAATAAATAACCTAACCTTACATCTCAAGAACCTAGAAAAAGAAGAACAAATCAACACCAAACACAGTAGAAGGCAGAAAACAATTAAAATCAGAGCTGAATTCAATAAAATTGAAATAAATAAAAAATTCAAAAAAATGAACAAAAAGTTGGTTCTTTAAAAAAAATTAATAAAATTGATAAACCTTTAGCCATGCTAACCAAGAGAAAGAGGGAGAAAAGCTAAAATTTCTAAAATTCATGATGAAAAAGGAAATGTCACCATGGATACTACTGAAATACAGACAAAATCAGAAACTATTTTGAAAACTTATACTCCAGTAAAATAGAATATCTTGAAGACATCAACAAATTTTTAGAGACATATTGACCTACCCAAAGAGAACTTGGAGGACAGGAAATTTAAACAGATATATTTCAAGCAATGAGTCTATCTTCATGATGTCCACTGTCAGCAGGTTGACTGACACCTGGGTAGGGCCACGCCCAAGGGAACAGTAAGAGAAAGGGACACACACACACACACACACACACACACACACACACACACACGGAAGGCACTTCCATGGAAAATTCTTTCCTAGACAGGGCAAGGGGTTATATTACAAAGGAACAGTTGAGCGTAGCTTCACCCATGCGGCTGTAGCAAGACACACCCATGCACAAGACATCGATCCTCGCACCCAAGAAGGGTGAGGAAAGCTCTGCCGCATTTCTGCCAGGGAGTGTAACCCAGTTACATGTAAGGTTGGTCTCCCACAGCTACTGATACCCTGCTATTGATATTTGCTCCTTACTTGCAACCTCTTTGGTCACCTCAAAATTTTGCTATGCTACACAGTGACCTTTTCTTTTGTTGGGATCTCAAAATTTTATACATTCATTTTTCCAAGAATGTCCTCATCTAATTATTCTTTTTCAAGTTCCCCTGTACTCAAGCCCCTCGTTGGGCACCACTTGCTGCGACCTGCACAGCAACAACGAAGGATCTCGAGTAGGCACGACCTGAGATTAAGAAAAACACAGACATTTTTAAGGAAAACTGGGACCAGGTGGGATACTGCCCTCCAATGGAGGAACAGTGACCCCGGAACTAGCTCAGCAGGTGTATTATATAGGGTCTCATAACCAGGAATTTTCACTATAGAGGCTTTGCAGATTGTTCAAGGCTTGTGAGTTTTCAAGAGGCTTCTTTGTGCACTAAAAACTTAGAAACATTTTTGCGGCTAGCCTGCTGTACCGAGAAACCCCATTGTACTGGAATGTCTGAAAACTACTGACATCAGAGCTGACCGAGTATCAAGGCTGTTCACACCCTGGCCTTTTGGCAAGGAATGTTTCCCAGGCTTGGGCTTTTATCTGCACTGCAGGATCAGCTGATGGCCAGGCCCATTCACTCTCCATTCAGGTTACCCTCCCTGGCTAGCTGGGACTTATTAAATAAAATATATGCCTTTATCTCTCAGCACATCATTTGTCAGTTTATTTTATATATTTAATCTGAATTGAATCTATGACCATTGTACTTACCAATGAACTTTTTCTTGTAATTTATCCTTTTGTCTGTGTCCCTAGCAGTGGCTTGCAATATCTATGACCGTTTGACTTCATGGGGTACTTACTGTATAATGTGGTAGGTCCAGTCACAGGGGTCATAAATGTCCCCATGGGAAATGAGAGGAGAGAGCCCAGCCTGAATTCCTTGTTCCCTGGAGCAGATGCCTGATGCTGCCACCTTTGAGATTCAGAGCCCATGGGCCCCAATCTCTTCAAATGATTTGATTCTGTTCTGTCTGTTGTCCAGGAAAATGGTTCTCCTATATGAACCTAGACATGAAATGTGGATTGTGATCTTTGTCAGTTCTGTGGTTGAGGCAGAGACTATCTTAACTAGGTCTCTCTCAAAGCTTTTCTTTCTTCCCTGTTTATGTTTCCCTGGGCTGTCAGCATTGAGACCATAAATCTCCCATTTCAGAATCCATTGCTACTGCAGGTGTGGCTCTGCTGGGTGACCCATGCTACTCACTTCACTGCAGCGGTTCACAGAGACTTTTGTGTCCACTGGGAAGAACTGCACACAGGTCTGTAATACTAACATACATGGACCTATAATGCTGTCAGCTGTGGATTGTTACTATTTTAGTTCCAAAATGATTTTATAACTTGATCAAGAACAATATTTTTACTTCAGAGTTCTACTATCATGTATTATTCTCATTGTTGTAGGTCACACCTTTGTGTCTTTGACTTCCTTCGCCAGCCTATTGAATGAATGTTTTGCAGATGCCTTTCTTTCTGTCCTAAAGTGAAAAAGACAGCTACACTGCACACACATGGAGCAGCGAAGACCAATCAAAGCATACTCTTAATGCAACTTTAGACTTTGCAAAATTATTGTTTAAAAATCTTCATAATAGCATTATTGTACTTCCTGAGCATTACACATCTGGAGTTGGTCTTTTATGTTGGTGAAATAGTGTTGCTGGGTCTTTCCTCCCTGTCTACTAGTGTGTGCAAGTTCACATTAATGCTGTGCTCAATGTCACACCAGGGCACCTAGGTGATTCCACTGTAGGTGGTGAATAGTATGAGGGCCGTGCTATTTCCTCATCTAGGTTTCTAACAGGATGCCTGGCTGGTCTCTGTTGGATGAACTAAGGAGGATTCTTTAGCTTCTTCTGGACCTGGCTTTTGTATTCTGCACACACACACACACCCCACCCCCCACCCCCCGCAAGTGCTGTATGGTCCCAGGTGTGAAGAGAGGCTGGGCCTGCCTGCTTTGGAAGGCAGCAGTCTTCCTGAAGTGGGAGTGGTCCTTCTTTTTAAAAGCCAACATATAGGCCCAAGGTAGATACACAAAAGTGGGGAAGAGCTATAGGGGAGTTAGTGGGGACCAAGGATTAGGGAGTTGGAACATGAATAAGCACAGCAGTTAATTGGAGGTTAAAAGAATAAAAAGCTTTGCTCTTTATAAAATTTTAAAACTTGAAAATGTTATGAAAAAGTCCATGAAACTTGGAGGAAGAGTAATGTGAATGTTATTAGTCCCTTTATACCACAGCAAGAATTTTTTCTTTTAGGCCTTACCTGAGATGGATTCATTGGATGGAATCATTTAGAATGCTCAAGAATGCTGAACATGTAAAGATAGATGTATTCAAACTATTTTACTGCATTATGTGTATTAGACTATTTAGGTCTTTGTTATTGGGATTTTTGTCTTGGGGAGAGTTCACTGGTGCTATCGTCATTATGTGTGAGCACTAGATGGCAGTGTGGATTTTTAAGGTTAGGCCCAGAGCAACAAATTTCAAGTAATTAAAAAAAAAAAAAAATTATTTTTTTAGTTGTAGTTGGACACAATACCTTCATTTATTTATTTTTATGTGGTGCCTCAGCCTAACCCTAACCCTAACCCAGGATCGAACCCAGGGCCCCGCGGGCCCGCACGTGATAGGCAAGCACTCCACCACTGAGCCACAACCCTAGCCCTCAAGTAAATCAACTGTGCTGGCAGTGCTATACTTGAGACCTCCTTATAACTGAAAGTTCATTCCCTTTGACCAATATTACCCCCTTCAATCTTCCCCACTCTTCAGTATCTGGTAACCACTGTTCTACTCCTTTACCTAGTCCTTTTTATTTTTTAATTTGTTTTGCTGAGGGTCTTCTCACTAAGTTGCTGAGGCTGGCCTTGAATTTTGCTTCTCCTGCCTCAGCTTCCTGAGTCCCTTGAATTACAGAATTACTGATTACAAGGGTGAACTACCACACCTGACTATTGGGACTTATTTTATGACCTCAGGTGTGGTGTATCCTGGAGACACAGAAACATAATTTACAGGATCAGAAACTCGTGTGCAAAAATATCTGCAAGAACCAGTGCCTGTGTAGGTAAACCTAAATTGCAATCCATGAATTTCTGGAGGCTTGGTATGGACAAATAATATCAATTATTGAGATTGCCTTATTCTTTATTATCTCCTTCAGATTTGGGTCCCAATATACTTCTCCCATTAAAACTTTGAAGTGCGTGCTAGGGAGCCTCTGGACCGAGGCGCCCCAGCCTCCCACCTGGCAGCTGCCCACATCCCCGTCGCCCGCTCTGCCTCCCCGCAGTTTCCTATTTCCCCGGCACCCAAACTCGGGAGGCCGGGGTAGGGGCGCCGCGGCAGAGCAAGCGCGGCTCCTGAAGGCCTCAAGGAGGGCGGCGTGGGTTAGGAGCCCGGGCCCCACCCTGCACTCTTTCCCTCCAGGTGCCGGGCGCTGACCAGACCGGGCAGAGCTGAAAGCAGGGCCCAGGGGTCCCCTCACCGAGGCAGGCGCTGGGGGGTCTGCACGCTAACTGACAAGGCCGTGGTAGTGCGGGGAGAGCTGGCTCTGCGAGGGCGGGGCGGGGCGGGGCGGGGCGAAGGCGAGCACGTGGGCGTGTACGGGGCGGGGCTTAGGCGGGGACGCGGGTGTGCAGAGCCGCGGAAGCCGTGAGGTGGGGCGTGGAGTGGGCTGCAGGGGGGCGGGGCTGCGCGGCGTGAAGGTGGGTGTGCGTGGAGGCGGGGCCTGGAGCGGGACCTGCCCTCGCCGTGACTTCTGCACTTCCGTTGCGTGCGTCGCTGGAGTTGGCGGGCAGGCCGCGCCGTGGGCCCCTGTGGGAGCCGTGGGCGTCGGGGTGGGTGCTGGAGCTGAGGTGATCTCCGATCTGGTGGGTTTGGACTCCCAAGAAAAACCTGACGTCTCGGGGTTCTTTCTCCGTTCGGGTTCCGCTCCGCGCGGCGCCGGGGAGGAACAATGGCTGCCACCTTCCAGGTAGCTTGGCCTTTTCTGGCTTTCTTTATCAGTGGGCGCCGGTCTTTCTGTTTGGGCTTGCTTGCTTGAAAGTCTTGCCCGATTTGCCCTGGAGTTAAGTGGGACCGAGTGACCCGATTTCTAGTGTTTACTGTGGGAACGGTGTTCGGGAGGGTGCAGGCCCCGAGCATCGCACCCGACCCCAGCGTCCCACCGTAATTTGACCAGTGTTTGGGATTTAGCCTCTCGTCTTTTTAGTTTATTGCTTTTTATTATAAAATTATATTGTCCTTTTCGAGAATTTGGAAAATACACAACATAACAAAGAAGAATGTTAAAATTCCAGTCTCCAAACGATCACTATTAATATTTTGCTGTAATTTTATTTCATTCTAGTGTGTATACTTATACTATTTTTAAGATTTTATAATCAGCAGTATTGTTTAGATTTACATTGTAACTTTGTCTTTAAATACTTAATGAAATTAACATTTTCATAGTCACATAATAATTATTTGTGCAATGATTTTTTTTTTTTTTTGCTTTCATTATAAAACATATGGAGAATTTACTAAGAAATACAGAGTAGGGCTGGGGCTGTAGCTTAGTGGTAGAGCACCTCTTGCACTCCTGAGCCCCTGGGTTCGATCCTCAGCACCACATAAAAATAAACAAACAAATAAATAAATAAAAGAAAAAAGAAATACAGAGCACACTCCGGTAACCATTGGCCCTGGCAATACAGAAGACTGCAAACACTTCAGTAACAACCCCAATCAAAATCCTTCTTCCCTCTGACACGTGTTATGATAATCAGTTTTTTCATTATAGTTTTACCTACCAAGTTTGCATCAATAAACGATAACATGTATTTTTACTTTTTGTTAACTTTATGATTTGCCTCAGTAAATGATACTATTTATTCTTTTTGCTAACTTTATGTAACCGTTTCTATCCTTTCATATTATGCTATTTTTAACACTATAATTAAATCTTTTTTTTTTCATTTTGTTGAGTAGCATACCCTTAAATGAAATCAGTTAATTTATATGTCCTTTACATTGTTGATTACTTGCCCCCCCCCTCCCAATTTTGGGCTATTCCATATAATGCTGCTAGAACATTTTTGCACATAACTAGCAATGAACAGGAATTCACATTTCTCTAGGATTATACATTTAGGATGGAATTGCTGGATAATAGAATATGCCTGCCTATTTCAGCTTTTTTTTTTTTTATTATTATTTGCCAAGTACTTCAAATAGTTGTGCCACTTTGCAGCTTTCCCAGCAGTGAACAGTTTCCTTGACTCTTAATTCCTTGTTTCTACATCAGAATTTATTATTATTCCTTCATCTTGGTTTCCTTTAAGTTTTTATTGAATACTAACAAAAGTAGAAAAAAAGTGCAAATATATGAATGTGTGGTGAATTTTCACTAACCTGATTCTGGTAACATCAGTCAGATCAGGAAAGAGAAAATTACTGCATGGTGCAATGAGACAGATATTATTACCCTCTTTACATGTATGATTATACTACAGGTGTGACTGCATCACAGCCAGAGGAATGAAAAATTGTGCTCCGTTTGTGTACAGTTTGTCAAAATAATTCAGCTGTCATGTATTACTAATTGGAACAAATTTTAAAATTTAAAAAAAAAGGGGGGGAAATTACCAAATTTCATTCCTACTTCTACTTTCCCACCACTTTTCCCTGCCCCCCAAGGGTAACTTGTTCTGACTTCTACCATTAAATTGGTTTCTGAACTTCATGTAAATAGAATCAAGTAGTGTATGCCTTTTTGTGTCTGGTTCCTTTATCTCTATATTTTGTTTCAGCATCATTCATGTTGCTGTATTTACTTGAAATTCACACATCTTCCTTGCTGTGTGCTATTGTTTGAAAATATCATGCTCTGTTCATTTTGTTTGTTTGTTTTTTGTTTGCAGTGCTAGAGATTGAACCCAGGGCCTCACCATGCTGGGTGAGGGTTCAGCAGGTATGGGCTGTCCAATTCTGATGTTGGCAGTCATTTGGATTTCCATTCTTTGGTTATTGTAAGCATCTTTTTAGAGATTGGAAAATATACAAACTAACAAAGATTGTTAAAATCCCAGTCTGTAAGCAACTACTGTTAATATTTTGAACAATGTTTCATTTGATCAATATTATACATTTTAGAATCAGTGTGTCAATTTCTATTTAAAAATCCTGCAGCCAGGCACAGTAGCAAGGCCTGCAATCTCAGCAACTGGGGAGGCTGAGGCAGGAGAATCACAAATTCAAAGACAGCCTGGGCAACTTAGTGAGATCCTATCTAAAAAAAAATAAATAAATAAGAAAAGGGCTGAGATATAGCTCAGTGGTAGAGCATCCCCCCCAAAAAAAATCTTCCAGGGATTCTGTTTGGGTTATGGGGGAAACCTTACTCATGGTACTGTGGCATAGCCAAGTGGTTAATTCAACCACTGTCACAGAAGTTGAATTAACACATTATCACAGCTGCTGATTTGAGACTATGGAAGAAGAAATTAATGAAGCAAGCAGAGTAAAGCCCCTCTCCCCTAGTCCAGTATGTCCAGTAGCCAAAGTGGGGGGGGGGACAATAATTTTTTTTAAATGATAGATGTATGAACTAAACCTAGATATGGGGAGAGAAAGTAGAGAACTAAAACAGAAGTTCACAAACAGAAGCCCAATGGAAACTAAACACACTAAAAGAATTTATACAACAAAAAGATGAAAATATGTAGCTTTTGCACTTTCACAACAAAGTTAACTTTTAATATTTATCACAATGTACAGAGAAAATTGGCAAATCTGTGGGACTGAAAATCAATATTGGAGCTCAAACTATAGTCATACTTGGAATTGCTTCAAAATTAAACAAGGTACTCCCTATAATTGTAAGGGAGTCACTGAATACAAAATAGAAAACAGGCATGCCTCACTTAACCGTAGATGTATTTGTTTTATAAATTCCTCACAGTCTTAGCACCCATTGCCCCAAAACATACCATAACAGGCATGAGTGCTCCAACCCAGTAAGCTGTAAATTAAAATCAAGTCTGGCATTTTACATTATTAGTCTTAGCAAAATGGCATCCTGTGGACCTTTACCTCCAGGTAAAATAGTTAATGTGGTTATATTTGTTTCTGATTATTTCTGTAATCACTACAAACATTAGCTTAAAAGACAAAATTTTTTTATCTTCTACTTGTGGAGATCAGAATTCCCATGTGACTTTCAGTGTATCCACAGTCTCATGCCCTCTGGAGGCTATATGGGAGGGTCTGTCTCCTTGCTTTACCATCTTCTAGAGGCCGCTCCTATTCCTTGGCTTACTGCCTCATCCTCCGTCCTCCTGGCCAGCAGCATAGCATCTTGAAGTCTTCCCCTGACTCTGACCATTCTTTCTTTCTCTTGACTAAAAGGCCTAACAATTACATTGTGCCCACCCATATAACCCACATAATCTCCATCCCAACAGCCTTAATTTTATCACATCTGGAAAAGTCCCTTTACTAAGTAACATTTTCATAGTTTCTAGGGACTAGGGAATGGATGTCGTTAAGGGGCCATTATTCTCTGCCTATCACAGTGACCTGATATAAATTAAAATAGGGCTTTTAAAGATTGAGGCCTAATATCTAAGACCTATTTGGAGGAGGGGTGTTTACCTCCAGTATTCTGCCCTTTAACTGTATAATTTGACTTCTTATTAATCTTGTAGAAATGGTGCCTCATGGTGGGTCCTACAAACCTAATGCTGTGGTCCCATCCATTTAAGCCCCCAGACCCAATATTATAAAAATTACTTACTCCATTCAGGCAGTAACTGGTAAATATTTCAGTATTACAGATTTGTCCAATAAATTCTGATTGGTGCCTATTTCAGCAGCCACTAAATCACAGTTTGTCTTTACCTCAGAAAGGACATGACACATCTTATCACAGTACCTGGAGTTTATTGCCATGTTTTTAAAAGAAACCCATCATGTGTGTCAGTTTTTCTAGTAATACATCAATACTGTCATATGCCTATTAATGACATTTTCCTCATGGACACATACATTAATTCTTTTGCTTTTCTTCTAAAACATGCCTTTTAAAGCCTTTTGGGATGACCCCAAAGTGGTTTGACTAACTGACGTTTGGCTGTTACAGGATTTTAATCTGAGATTCACTTTTACATATTATACTAGGTCTTTGATTCACTAACCCCAGTGACACTTTCTCTTTGGGGAATGGAAGATCCTTTGTCTTCTCATTCTTGGTTCACCTTCTTGTGATGATGGAACTAGTATTCCAACAGCTCTCCAAGAAGTGGGTACATATCATTTAGTCTGTACATATTTAGAAATGTCTTTACTCAACATGCTCACAAGGTTGATGGTTTGGGCATGGGATATTAGAAGAATGGCTCCTCTGTCTGCCTTTCTATAGGAGTCTCTTAGGAAGCCCCTTGCCATGTCACCTCTACATCTATTATTGAACCTGTTTTTCTCCCTGGGGGTTTTAGGTTTTTGTTTTTACACCAGGTATTATTTTTTAATACTTATTTATTTAGATGTAGTTGCACATGATACTTTTATTTATATGTGGTGCTGAGGATCGAATCCAGGGCCTTGCACTTGCTAGGCAAGTGCTCTAGCTCTACCACTGAGCCACAACCCCAGCCCCTATACCAGGTATTATAAAACTTTATTTTTTATGTAATTTTGTAAAGAATCTCAGAATTGGGCTGGGGATGTGGCTCAAGCGGTAGCGCGCTCGCCTGGCATGCATGCGGCCCAGGTTCAATCCTCAGCACCACATACAAATAAAGATGTTGTGTCCGCCGAAAACTAAACAATAAATATTAAAAAAAAAAAGAAAAAAGAATCTCAGAATTTGTCCTTTCTAAGGCATTGAGAGAGAAGGGAAAAGAAATACTTATTATGACTTATTTTGCCATGAATTGTGTTGGGTTGCCTGCACATATGCTACTTTTTCGTTATATGAGATTCCACAGTTTGATTTTGCACATACTGAGACATGTCTGGATCGTGGAAATACCCATTTGTAAAAAATTGCTTGGAGAAATGGAATGTTTGAGGACCCGAAAACCTGCTTCAGTCACTCATTTCCTTAGATTTCCCCATCTCCAGATTTTTGTCACATAATAGTTCCCCATTTCATTCTGCTTGTCTTACTTCTCTGTGCACGCCTTCAGCCTCTTCATGTTTGCCGTTTCAGGGGGTGGTGGTGGTGTTCAGTGATGTGACTGTAGACTTCTCCCGAGAGGAGTGGGAATACCTGGACTCTGTGCAAAGAGTTTTATACAGAGATGTGATGCTGGAGAACTATAGCAACCTGGTGTCAGTGGGTAAAGCTATCTGCCCCACAGATTTCAAGATCTGTTAGGAATGTCTGCTTTCTACATTGTGAATTATTTAGCTGCCTTTAAAATAACTCTGAATTTGTGGTTTCCACTCACAGAGTTTGAACTTTGTGGAGATGGAAATAGGTGGCTTCATTACAGTGGAAATTTTTCTGGTTTTCTGTGCCCTTTCCTATAATTTCACTTATTTCTTTAACAAATGACTAGAAATGAATTCTGGGACATCCCAGCATAACTGTTTTTTTTTTTTTTCCTGTAAACAGGACTTTCTATTTCTAAACCAGCTGTGATCACCTTATTGGAGCAAGGGCATGAGCCCTGGACAGGTGGTCCAGTGCCAGCTAAAAGCCAGTCCTTACATAAGTGGCAGAAATCAAGAGTGTTGAAGAAGAGCAGTACAGGTGGTAATCCATCTATCTGTGAGGAGGTGACACCTTTGAGTCAGGAAGGTGAGCCTTGTAGACCTTGATCTATGGATCACTTTTACTTTTTTTACCAATCAGACTTCTTTTACTCCTTTGAAAATTATTGCATCTATATTTGTATTTAAGTATTTTCTTAGCTACTGGAGGAATACAAAAAGGTACTCAAGTCACCAGTAGATGGCGCCTTTTCTCCTAGGACCAAATTTAGAATCACCTCTAGTGCTTCTTAGCTCTTGATGGCTAGGGGGCAGATTCCAGAAGAAAGGCCTCAGACATAGTAAGATAGTTCTACGTTGATTGGTGCCAGTAGCCCTGGAAGTTCATGCCTGGAACTCTCCTGGACCCTTCTGTGTGTGTGTGTGTGTGTGTGTGTGTGTGTGTGTGTGTGTGTGTACGCGCGCAGGCATGCACGTGTGTTAGGTTTAATCTGTATAATTTCTGTGTAATAAACTGAGTCCATGAGTATAACTGTTCTGAGTCCTGAGTCATTCTAGTGAATCACTTATCTTGAGGTCTTGCAGACCTCCTGAATGTACAGCCCTATTCCTTTTGTGCAAAAAGGAAAAAGTCTCATTCTGTAATTACATAATAAGAAATGTAAAATATCTAGCGTACAAATAAATAGCCCTTCTATGGTTGCTGTTATGATGGAAGAATTTCTTAACTCAAGTAGGTTGAAATGTGTAAAAGGTGTGGGTAAAGACTTTAACATGGATTCTGAGGTGTGCCTAATCCCAGCTACATGGAAGGCTGAGACAGGGAACCACAAGTTTGAAGCCAATCTGAGCAACATAGCTAAACTCTATCTCAAAAAAAAAATGTTTTAAATGATTAAAAAAATAAAATGGACTATGAGAAAACTAGAGAAAAATACTCTAAGAACTACAGAAGTCTATATAGTGATTCCTATGAAACTGTTGCTAAGTGCTAAAGCAAACATACATAGAATTAAGCCACATCAATGCCAGCCAAAGAATGGCAGCAGACTGTAATCTGAACAGTTCCAGAAGATAGCATAGAAATGAGACAGTCTGAATTTTGACCAGCCGATGTAGAGGGCTCCCTGAATACCCGAGGCTCAATAAAGATGCCAGAATGTGCACTCCCTAGTATAGAATTAAGTATTCTATAGAAAAATCTATCCTAGCCCTACCCTAACAGAGCTTAATAAAATCCATGAAAGGATCAAACATCCTTAAATCACCTGTTTACTGGAACAGAATACAAAAGTCTTCGATAAAAATTAGCAAAGTTGGGCTGGGATTGTAGCTCAGTGAGTGGTACAGTGCTTGCCTCGCATGTGTGAGGCACTAGGTTCAATCCTCAACCCCACATAAAAATAAATAAATAAGATACTGTGTCCATCTACAACTAAAAAAAAAATTAGCAAAGTTAAGCATTTGACAATATAACATTCTCGATTTCTAGCATTCAATTATAAAACACTAGATGTTGAAAAAGAAGGAAAATAGCATAAATAGTCAACAGAAGTGACAGATGGAATTAGCAGACAGAATGTTAGAACAGCTCTTCTAAATATGTGTAATAAGTTAATGGATTTAGGGGAACCCCTCTATATAATGGCAAGAGACTGGAGAGACTACTTGCCAACAGAGCAATAAGAACTTGTTTTAGTCTCTTGCATCTCAAAATTTTAAAGTATATGCAACAGTAGTTTTTCAGGAACATCTCTGGATTCCAAGCAATAAAGACAGTGATTCTCGACAGACAGGAACCCAATAAGGCCCTGTGATTGCCCCATCTTGCTTTGTTGAGTCTTAGGATGCAGCTCAGCGAAGTCGGAAGAGCTCAACAAATTCCATGAGTAGAGAAGACAGAGCTGAGTCCAGGGTGATCAAGGCAGCACATGTTCAGAGGAGCACAAAAAGATGAGCTGCAGAGTGAGGGAAAACTAAAGATCTGCAGAAGGGCTCCTTTGAGAGTTCAACAGATTACTGGTAAGCAGATGGGGAACTACCTGAGGCTTCCAGAACCATTTGGAAGGACTAGAAGGACCTATGCCCAGCACTCACACAGCCAGCAAAATACCTGCTCCCACTACCCACATAGACTGAAAAGCCTTACAACTCTTCATGCACTAATGAGACTGCTCCACAGTGTCTTACTTCAACTTCAGGCCATGGAACTACTCTAAAAGAAAGATCTAAAAGGATCAGATAACAACTTTCAAGTAATTTAATGATCTTAAAGCTTATTTAAAGGAATACAAAATCTAGTACTCAACAAGACAATTCACAATGTCTCATGTTCAATACAAGATTACTGTGCGTGCCAAGATAGAAAAAAGATCCATAATGAGGACAATTTTTGTTAAAACCAACCAAGAAATGGTAAATATTAGAAGACATTTTTAAAGTTATAACTATATTCCAAGTGTTCAAAAGTTGAGCCAGACGTAGAACATCCTTTTAAGCACCCATATTGTTTCTAGAGTAGAAAACCAAAAAGCTTGCATTAGGTTGTACAGTGGATTCAATATTTCATGTTCAGAAAAGGTTAGTGAACTGGAAAGCAGCAACTGAAATGCAAAAGAGGAATGAGTGGATGTGACTTTTGGAATAACTTAGGCAACCTAATATACAAGTGTTTGGAGTATACTCCAAAGAGAACTGGCAGCAGAGAAAATATAAGAATGACCAAAAATTTGACAAAACAGATCCACAAGCTTCAAAGAACTTCAAATATAAGAAGCACACATATTTAAAGACTGTAAGACATATTCAAATTGCTCAAAGACTGTGTGAGCATCTCAGGTTTCTGATCTTTAATCACATGGGCAGTTTCAATTATGAAAGCTAGTGTTTCTCAGTTGGTGTATACTGTACTATAAGATCTGGAAATCTCATCTAAAATCCAATTAGTTGCTGGAAGGTGGTATTCATTGGCTTTTATAATAGGCCCATCTATGTTCCACACAGAGGAGTTAGACAGAGAACTTCCCAGCTTCTAACAAAGTCATTAAACTGGTAATAACTTTTTGTCCACAAAGTATTCTATCCTGTCAAATCAACCTGTATGAACTTGGACAGTTTATTGGTTCCCATATAGCATATGCAATCTGTAGTGTTTAAATATTGAATTTATAGTTTCACAATACTAGGTAGTGCATTCCCAGTCAGATATAATGTCTAGTCATTTAATATATTTAGGTAAAGAAAATGTAAAGTCTGTTCATTCCAATTCTTATCCATGTTTCAGCAGTTCCACCAGTGGCTCTCATATCCTTACACTCGAACTCTGTCCCCCAATAGGGCTTCTCTAGTGGATGTTTGAATCCTTCTGTTTTGTGTTTCCATGACAAGGAGTTCCAAAAAGTTTCTTCCTCACCTCTTGGTCAATTTGTGTTTGTGCATTATGAGTACATAAAGCCTTTGTATTCCTAGCTGGGGGTTGGGCTGAGGGACCCTGACTCTCTCATCAATCTTTACCCTGTTGAGTCTGATCACACCATAATTTGATATATGTATGCATCACACAATGATTGTGCCTTGTAACATTTTAAGTTCTTCTTGAATAATAAATAGCCCAAGTTTTGTTTACCACCCATCAGTGTTGAAGGACCAACACAGACTCCTACTGATCCCCCTTCCTTCCAGTAGTATTGTACTGAGACATTTGTTTGCTTTCATCAATGTCCACCTTATTCATCCCATTTCTTAAACTATTTAAAGACGAGTGTGGGTGTAACTCAGTGGTAGAGCACTTGCTTAGCATGCATAAGGCCCTGGGTTCCATCCCTAGTGCATGCGTGCGTGCGCACACACACACACACACACACACACACACATACCCAAAAAAAACCTTCAAAGATTTCTACCCTGTTTTATGAGTCTCTTGAATCTCCCCTTTATATTTCTGTCTCTCTCCATTCTTGCAGCTTACTCTAATTTCCATAACTGTTTCAGCATAATTTTTTCCTTTGGTAGCATCCCTGTGGCTGTAGCTCAGAATAGATGAAATGCAAGCTCGGCCCAGATTCCAGATCACAATAACAAAGGCATTTGTTTTGTAGTTTGCTTATTTCATTTTAATTTGCTTTTCTTAATGTGTCTAGGGAGCCATCTAAGAACACAACATCATTTAAAATATTGTGATTAAATTACACAGCCTTTGGCTGTTAGGGCTGTGAACTACATTGGCAGGCAAGAGAAAAAAGAGAAGTCTGGTTGCATGTCCTACTGCTTAAAAAGCAGTCCACTTAGGTCAGCAAGTATGTGAAGGCCTTGGCTGCTCTGCCTGTGGCCCCAGCCCAGAGTGCAAGACAATTGTCTCTACTATTCAGGTATAGGTTAGAACTGCCAAATGTATTGTTTAAAGGCATGTAGAAAATCTCATCTATGTGAAAGTCACTGCCATAAAGGTTCTGGTTATAGAATAAAGAGTAAATGTCATGTCATCAAATTAAGAGAAGCTCAGGTGCCTTTTATAAAAAGCAACCTTTTCAAATTTAAAAACTTAAGTAGACTTGCTTGGTTGACAGAGAAGTTATAAGACAACTCAAGAGCTTTCAGGCCTAAGACAAAGTTGTGTTGCTTAGATGTTAAAATCTTGTAGTGGATTGTGCAATTGCTAGGTTGCCACCTAAAATATTTTAATGTAATCTATCGAAAACGATTTTACCAAAGTGTAAGTATTAAAAAGTATATGGTCAAAAAAAAAAGTAAGTAGTGAACCAATTCATCAGGAAGTGGATCTGTTATTTCTGAAGTTCACTGATAACTTTTTACTTCTAATAACCAGCTGAGCATGAGTAACTATGATTCCAGTTTTGGATTAACTGAGAATCCAAATTTTGTCAACTGCTCTTTCAACCTTCCTTGTCCCAAGCCATGATTTCACCATGTGTCAGTGAGCCAGGATCAGTTTAGCAACCCCACCTTTTGATACCAGCTGTAGTTTTTGAGATTACCAAGCCCACTCTTAGATTCAGGAGTTTACTAGATGTGTTATCAGATTGCTTGAAGCTGTTTTAACCACATTCATGGTTTATTAAACTGGAAGAATAGAGATTCAGATCAGCAAAGAAGGGGCACATAGGAGAGGGTCCAGGAATAATGTGGTATGAGCTATCATTTGTCCTTTTTCAGGGGAATCACATGGATAGCACTTTTTACTTTTTCTGAAACAATATGTGGCAATACACATGGAATACTGTCAACCAAAGCTTTTGTGTCCAAGGTTTTCATTAGATGTTAACAGACTATTTTATGTAACTTAAGCTCTGAGTTACTCCATGCTGCATAGAATAGAAGTTTTCAAGCTGTGCCTAAGCCTTTGTTACTCCGTTTTGTAAAGCAATAGTTTGCTATAAGCTGCTCTGTTTTGTGTTTAAGGGCTGAAGTGTAATGATTCCACACCTTGTTTGTGCAAATAGATAACCACTATCTACCTGCCATAACCATAGGCATAAGCTGATAAATAAATTGTGCTAGTAAGGATAACCACGTGTACTTGGGTGCAGTGGCACATGCTAATAATCCCAGCAGCTCAGGAGGATGAGGCAGGAGGATCACAAGTTCAAAGCCAGCTTCAGCAAAAGTGAGTGCTAAGCAACTCATTGAGACCTTGTCGATAAATGAAATACAAAATAGGGCTGGGGATGTAGCTCAATGGTCAATCCCCAGTACCCCCTGCCCCCCAAAAATGACCACCTCTGAACTTACAAAATTAATCAGAAGCACATGGATACATGCACATATTAAACTCACATCAGACAAAACATGAGCTCATCAAACATGAGCTTATCAAACACGCCAGACCACCAAATGATGCTACCCACTCACTCAAGACCCATAAAAGAAGGAGCATCCCAAGACAGGACAGAGTGGCTTCCTGACCCCATTCAGCCATAAATAAAATGAAATTATGTCATTTGCAGGAAAATGGGTGGAACTAGAAACCATCATGTTGAGCAAAATAAGTCAAACTCAAAAGGTCAAGGATCATATGTTTTCTCTCATATGCAGAAGCTAAAGAGGAAAAAGGAAAAGAAGGTGGTATAGATCTCCTAAAAATCAAAGGGAGTTCAGTAGAGGAAAGGGACTAGGGGGTAAGAGGGAGGGCAGGTGCGGGAAAATGCCAGAAGTGATACTGGCCAAATCATATTGTTATATTGTGTGCATGTACAAATATGTAACAACAAATCCCAACATTATGTACATCTGTAATGTACCAATAAAAAATGTGGAAAACAAGACATAACACCTCCACTTATTAAACTAAGAAAAATAATAAAAGTAAAACCTATAAATCTAAAAAAAGAAAAAGAAATTAAGATTGGAACAAATGAAATTGTGATTGCCCAGTTTATGACTATCAGGTGATCCACAATTTTCAGTGAACTGCCACTGATGAAAGTGGTGTATCTGAGAATTTATTGTTCTTCAGTAAAATCTGAAAATGTGGAAAGAAACAAATGTGTTTGGTCTATATTAATGACGTAGCATGCTCATGACACTAGGTAAATATAATATTGTCAGGGAGGACATATTCAAGCCTTAAGAGTTCCTCTAACAAGTGGCAGGCAAGGGTCAAACCTTTATTCAGGCTAGGTTAATCCTTTACTGCAGAGGATCTCAGAGTGACTCAGTGATTTGTCTCCAAATTTAAGCTTGTATTTTAGTGCTGGGATATAAAACAACCCAATTTTAATATTCTTACTATACCACATCACCCATTTTATTTTGTCCCACTTATCTGAACTTACAGATTGCTCCCACCATCTGTCACCAATGTAGCCATTGCTCCACAAATAATGTTTCATGGAATTCTTAAAGAAAAAAAAAAAGCATTTTCAAGAAATTCACATATTTTGAAGTCCAATCATGGCAGTCTTCCCTAAGTCCATCCATTCCTACATGGCTCATTTGATGGTTTCCCTTAGGTTATAGTCAGTCTGGATTTCTACCTTTTATCAGCCTAACTTCAGATCATTTCCAATATATTATTTATTAGCAAGCTTTCTGTCCTTTCACCTCAGAAATATCCTCTGGTTTTACTTATTTAATTCATGTCATAGGTATGATATTCCTCTCCTTTTTACAATACACATGTATGGTAATGTATTATAAAACTATATAACCAAGCAAGCCTTCCTTCAATTTGGATGATCATGTAAGACAATATATATTTGTCAATCCTCCCAAATAATTCAGTCATACAAATGTTTGAGAATCATTGACAATCTCTTATTCATTTCTTTCATCTTCCTATATGGATTTGTTCATTCTTTGTTTTCCTTGTTCATTTGTTGAAAGGCACAGCTCTAGTCAGTAGTGCCTTACTATTCACTATTTGTTTATTTGAAAACATTTTTTGTTTCTATCTTTCCAACCATAGAAGTTTTATTTCTCCCAAATTAAGAGAGGAGCAAATGTTTTATTTTTATTTCATTTCAGATCAACCATTGAAGTCTGCATCCAAGAATCAACCTTTAAAGGGAAAAATTAGTAATGTAAAATCATTCCCATTAGAGTTCATGGAAGGAATTATAAGGCCGTGCTCAAGTGTCCAAGATATTTGGGGATGTAAAGACCAGTTTGAGGGACCATATTCTTATCAAGAAGCACATTTCAGCAAAGTAATAATCACCCGTGAAGATGTACCTGCTTTTGATCAGCAGGTATCTCTTACTCTATACCACAGATCTGGAAATGAGGAGAAACCATATTACTGTAAGGAATGTGGGAAGGCTTTTAGTCGTGGATCACAACTTACTCAACACCAGAGAACTCACAATGGTGAGAAACCCTATGACTGTAGGGACTGTGGGAAGGCCTTCAGTTGTAGTTCCGCACTTTCAAGACATCAGAAAACTCACACTGGTGAGAAACCCTATGAATGTAAGGAATGTGGTCAGTCCTTTAGTTGTGGCCCATATCTTCTACGACATCAGAGGATTCACACTGGTGAGAAACCTTATGAATGTAGACAATGTGGGAAGGCTTTTAGTTGGATGTCCTATTTTTCTCAACATCAAAGAATCCATACTGGTGAAAAACCCTATGAATGTAAGCAGTGTGGAAAAGCATTTTGTTGGAAGTCCTATCTTACAAAACATCAGAGAATCCATACTGCTGAGAAATTCTATGAGTGTAAGGAATGTGGGAAGGCCTTTAATAAGACCTCAAAACTTGTTCAACATCAGAGAATTCACATTGGAGAGAAGCCCTATGAGTGCAAAGAATGTGGAAAAGCCTTTATTAGGAGCTCAAGCCTCATTCAGCATCAGAGAATTCACACTGGTGAAAAACCCTATGAATGCAAGGAATGTGGAAAGACCTTTAGTTGTAACTCATACCTTTCTCAACATCAGAGATTTCACACTGGTAAGAGACCCTATGAATGTAAAGAATGTGGAAAGACCTTTAGTTACCACTCAAACTTCACCATACATAAGAAAATGCATACAGGTGAGAAACCCTATGAATGCAAGAACTGTGGCAAGGCCTTTACTAGGAGTTGGAACTTTATTCGACACCAGAGAATTCATAATGGTGATTAACTCTATGACTGGAAAAAATACATACAGGATTTTTTGATGGTTAAGATTTTTTTAAACCTGAGAATTAAAAAATAGTAGACCATCTTATAATGTAATTGTTAGGAAAAGCTACCAATGGCCTACAAAATTTACTAAGCCTCCCAAATTCCACACTTACAATCTTATTGTAAATATCAGAAAAGTTCTTATTTGAAAGTAATCATGTGAATTTATCTCCTTAAATAGACCATAGTTTATTCAGAATCAACTTTGCAACCATTTTAGATTTTACTATAAAAGTATGGATGTGTCTAAATCAATAATTTAACCACAAATTCTTATTAATTTCTTTATTCCACATGTTTGCACTGCCTCCTGTTATTGACACATTATATTAATATTGACCTGTGTTTCAGGACCTTATTTGCCCTTACAGATACTCAAAGTATTTAAATATATAAATTTGATATTTTATATAATAGATTTATATGTTTGTTTTTTTTTTAATTTTAATATTTATTTTTTAGTTATCGGCGGACACAACATCTTTGTTTGTATGTGGTACTGAGGATCGAACCCGGGCCACACGCATGCCAGGCAAGTGCGCCACCGCTTGAGCCACATCCCCAGCCCCTATATCTGTTGGTTTTTAAAAGATGGACTTACTTTCCCTTTTATGAAAATATCATAAAATTTTATGTTATATAAAGAAGCACAAGGGAAAAATCTTTTATTTCTATCAAAAAATCCACTGTCAGTGGGATCCAATGATATGTGTTTATGAAATATTTACATGCTATAATAACATTTTTTACCTACCATTTCTGTGCCAAAGAAATTTTCCTGTCAGTATATAGATCTCCTATAACTGTTAATGGCTTCACTGGGTTCCCTATGATGCTGTATTTATCAAATACCTTTGATTGTTTGCCTCCAAGTTGGGAAGGTCATGAACAATGTCCTTTAAAAAATAAAAATTTTTCTAGACATCTTTGTACATTTATCTGGTTTTTTTCTTTTTTAGGAAGGTTTTTATTGCAAATAATACATAAATACAATTCTTGTGAAAAAAGATTTAAACATCAGAAATTCCTAAGTTCTTGTTTCATGCCTATCCTGATCCCTGTACACTTTCCAAATGTAAGTACTGTTATTAATCTTTATGAATCAAAATCTTTTATCTATGTTTTAAAAACTGTTAATGTTTTATGATAGTATATTTATGCATTGTAAAATATAGGTGGAAATTCTACCTCATTGTGTGAGAATCAGTAAGTTTGTAAACCTAAAGTGCTTATTTGTTTTATAATAAATATTAGGCAAACGTTGGCCATCTCGATAATTATTTGTGGAATAGAATTTGTTGTATACCAGTTTACAGATTTCTTATGATGATTGTTGTACTATCAGTGTTATAAAAATTGGGGAGACTTTCACCAGCAACTTTTCTTTATTGAATAAAGTTTACCCTGAAGAATCAAAAGCACAAACTGACCCTAATATATATGAAGTATTTTACTTAGACCATAAGCTGCATAGATATTATGCAAGCCTGAAACGCTACATGGTGTAGCTGAGCACAACTTTCCAAAGAGCAGAAAGAAGAGGTAGAAATGTGTCTCTATAATCAGTTCTGGAAAAAAAGAATGGATGTCTAACCATGCTTTTTGACAAAATTGTAACAAAAATCTTGATAATAGTATAGCATGAAACATCCAGAGATCCATTTGTGGCCCATCTAAATAACCACTGGTTTGAAACAAGACTGAAATTACATAATCCTTGGAAGAAAATGAATGACAAAAGGCCTACTATGTAGAAAATCCTGGAAGTACAGTAAATGCTACATGTCCTATTAAATATCTAAGCCTAAGTGCCACGCCCACCATCACCATCCAATCCCGGCGCTGCGCGCCAGCCCACAAGCTCCATGACCACCGGCCGGCCCCGCCCATAGGACCGAGAGCTTCTGCGCAGAACGGCGCGGTAGCAGCCAATCCGCAGCCGGAAGGCCCGGTCGGGGCAGACGCAGCCTGGGCGCTAGGGCCGCCGGGAAGCGTAGTCCTGGGGTCGCGGTCAGAGCCCGCACCCGCGGGACGGGTAAGGTAGGTGGATCCAGCTGAGTTGACTGCAGCGTGCGGGGCAGGTACGCTTCGCAGAGGTGGACCGTGTGAGTCTGGGGCCGGCGCCAGAGGCTCCGGAGGCTCTTCGGAATCCGAGCCTGGAGCGAGAAAGCGGTGGACGCGCCCCTGGCGGCGGCGGCACTGGGCTTCCCCCAACAGAGCACGGCCTCCGCTGGGGAAGCCGTCCTCAGTCCAGCACGAGGCCCTCGCGGCGGCCTTACCCTTCGAGTTGGGAAACTTCAGTCAGCGAACTTTTGTTTGAGTTTCTAGAGAAACATATGCTCATTGAGAAAGTGCATTTAAAGGAAAAAAAGGTAGATAACGGCATCTCACTGACTTGTAGTGTTTAACTGTTAAAGGAGGGTTAACTTTGGAAATGTGTTTTATATCTTTTTTTTTTTTTTTGGCTGTTGATGGACCATTTATTTTATTTATTTATATGTGAGAATCCAGCCCAGTGCCTCACACGTGCTAGACAAGCGCTTTACCACTGAGCTAGGGCCCCAGCCCCATATCATATATTTTTTAGTTTCATGCATTCCTACCCAGATATTTTATATTTCCATTCCTCTCTATTATTTGCAGTTCTCTCTCTCTCTCTCTCTCTCTCTCTCTCTCTCTCTCTCTCTCTCTCTCT